TTGCTTCAGACATTTCTGGAAGTTCTTCCCAAGAATACCTTTCAAAGTTGAAACCTTCAACTGACTTCAGGTTTCCTCCCTGACCATACCCTCCCAGGACTACAATGTTGTTTTCAATAACAACTGCAGTACATCCCCGCCTCTTACATCTCATTGATGGCAGCATGTGACTTTGTTCTGTCTTGACATTGTAAATGATAACTGTATCTAATGTCTTGCCATGTTTGTCAGCGCCACCAATAACAACAATGTTGTCTCCCCATCTCACAGTTGCCATATCACTCACTTCATACGGCAGTGGTGACAACTTTTTCAGCTCATTCTTCTTCATATCGTACAGTACGACACTGCTGAGGTTGTCTTTGTAACTGTCATTTGTACTTCCACCAACTATGAACAAATTATCATCAAATATTTCCATGCTGTGATCTTGTCTTGGTTCTGGCACTCTTGATAAGGTCTTCACAGTATAGGGAGGAACAAGCTGGACTGATCTGATCAAGTCAGATGAACCATTTCTATTTTCACCTCCAGAGACTATCAACTGATCATTATACAGCACACTGCTGTGGAATCTCAGCTTATCAGGTAGTTTAACACGACAGTCACTCCAGTGTTTTGAGAGATCAGGGTTTGGGTCAATATTCATTCTAATCATATCATCAAGAATGCCAGACCAACCACACCAACCCCCAGCTATAGTCATATGATTGTTATAAATAAATGAAGTCGCTGCCCAACGATTCTTTGGCATTGATTGTAATAACGACCACGTTCTTTGACGCCAGTTAAACATCTCTACAGAGTTAATCCAAAGACTTCCAGCAACAATTATATTTTCTTTATCACCACTTGGTCTATTTCTTACTTTTCTTGTGTTTTCTTCTATTTTTCCCTCCATCGTGATAAGAACGTCCTTCATTTCATCAAAAGTTCTGACCAAAGCTGTTTTCAATCCATCGACTTTGTTGTTAACCGCTTCGAGTTTTCCTTCCATATCTGCTTTTATATCTGCTTTTAAATCTGCGATTGTGGTATTTCTCGCCATATTTTTCTCTAAATTTGTTATTTTAGTTTCAATCGTTACATTATTCTTCGCCATTCTACCCTCGATATCTGCCAAAGTTTTCGTGATTTCTCCGCACGAGTGACACTTCAACTTTCGGAATTCGCAGACTTCACTTTCATGGTGAATAAGATCACGCTTGTTGACAATTAAACCACAGCCTTGGTTTGTACAAACGGCTGGTGTATATCCACATGTATCTTCATGGCGGTCAAGATGCTGCACTTCTACAACTTCTTGACAACCTCTGTCGATGTAAACGCAACGAATTTTTGATTCATTTAAAAATCTTTTACAATTCGCGGTGCTTCGGCCAAAGTCTCTACGGTCAGTTCATCAGCACACGTTGGGCATGTTTGAGAATTTTCCAGATGTTTCGTAATACAACAACGGCAAAAAGAATGCTGGTTTCTCGAACACATAACCGGCTCTTTCAAGACGTTGAAGCAAATCTGACAGAGGAAATTTCGATCGATTTGGTTCACAAACCTTTCTTCATCGTAGCCTTGTATATATGAAGCCATATTTCACGTCGTTCTTGTGTCGTAATAATAAAGCAAGTTCTGTGTTGTTTGTCGCTCTGTAGTATAAACCTCGCTGTATAGACTGAATATAGATACAGTGTTCGTTCTTGAAGATGTCTGTGTTTGTATTTTCTCAAAATCTTCTGCAAAATGATCAGTTTATAAAGACAAATATCTCTTCCTTATAAAGTGTTTGCATAAAATGCATCATTTGCTGTCAGGAATTCTTGGAATTTGCTGCGGTGTTTCCACAAATAAATTAAAACATATTGCGAGCTGAGAGAGAGAACTGGGACTAGAGTATAACGCACTGAGCTATGTATGCTAAGTGAATGGGTCAAACTGCATTGTCCAGCATTATGAACATAGATTTTTCCTAATCGTGTCAGATGATTTTACTCATCATTGGAAGAGTACTGTCAGTTAATAAGTTAACAAAACTATCTGTCAGTGTCTCTTGTTAACCCATTAGCTTGCAATGCACCCAGATGCGATTCTTCCTAGAGGTCCAGTAAGGATCATCTCTTATTGATCCAGTGTTACTACAGGAGGAAACCTAAACTAAACTAACTTTATTTATACTGGATAGCTCTATCAGTTCTAAACTGTTCTTCCTAGAGGTCCAGTAAGGATCATCTCTTATTGATCCAGTGTTACTACAGGAGGAAACCTAAACTAAACTAACTTTATTTATACTGGATAGCTCTATCAGTTCTAAACTGTTCTTCCTAGAGGTCCAGTAAGGATCATCTCTTATTGATCCAGTGTTACTACAGGAGGAAACCTAAACTAAACTAACTTTATTTATACTGGATAGCTCTATCAGTTCTAAACTGTTCTTCCTAGAGGTCCAGTAAGGATCATCTCTTATTGATCCAGTGTTACTACAGGAGGAAACCTAAACTAAACTAACTTTATTGATACTGGATAGCTCTATCAGTTCTAAACTGTTCTTCCTAGAGGTCCAGTAAGGATCATCTTTTATTGATCCAGTGTTACTACAGGAGGAAACCTAACCCAACCTGTGAATCCACAATCTTCATTGTTACTTGACGTACCATGCAATTCCAAGGCACGTGGACAACATGGCTGGTGCAGGGGAACAAGAATTATCTCAAATGTCTTGCGAAGATTTCACTGAATTCAAGGTCAGAAAATGACACGATCGCTAAACAAAATGCATTTTCCTAAAGACCAATTCTTCGATTACATGTTATAACTTAAATTTTATTGTTTGTTTTCTTTTGATCCTTAAAAACGAGCCGATAAAATTCATAATATGATTGTCTAAATTGTTGCATAATATGCTCAAATATATTCGTCGTTTGCCTGGAAATGTTCATATAAATCTTTTAAGAGGAAGGAAGATATTTGAGTGTTTCTGATATTCACACGACCTTAAAGCGTATTTCTGTTTACTTTCTAGGAAGCTTTGAAGGTTTTAAGATTACTCGATGATAAAATTATTTATAGTCTTAATAAAAGTGTACCAACGACGTCGTTTGCTGGGGAAATAAATGCTGAAAATAAGTGTAAAGAATTATATACAGAGGTGAGGTTATTTTTCACTGTATTTCCTTTTGTATGCCTTGACTTCTTGTTGTTGACCATCATACTGAACCAGAGACACTGACAGATAGTTTTGTTAACTTATTAATTGACAGTATTCTTCCACTGATGAATAAAATCATCTGACATTAGACAGAGTAAAATACTAAAGTAGGTCACATCTGGGTGCATTGCAAGCTAATGGGTTAACAAGAAACACTGACAGATAGTTTTGTTAACTTATTAACTGACTGTACTCTTCCACTGATGAGTAAAATCATCTGACATTAGACAGAGTAAAATATTAAAGTAGGTCACATCTGGGTGCATTACAAGCTAATGGGTTAACAAGAGACACTGACAGATAGTTTTGTTAACTTATTAACTGACAGTATTCTTCCATTGATGAGTAAAATAATCTGACATTAGACAGAGTAAAATACTAATGTAGGTCACATCTGGGTGCATTGAAAGCTAATGTGATTATTCAACTCTTAGCTACTAGGTGCTTATTCAACAAGAGAAAACGCTATCAAGAAATGTGTCACGCAAGTGTCTTCATCAATACAAAAACTACAAGAAAGACGTCAAGTTGATGAAGATAATCCAGAAATTCTAAGACATCTTAGAAAGGAACAGACCAAGGTGCTACATTGCAACAACTTTCTCATATCTCAATTATTTTATCATTTTTAAGTTTTAATCAGACCTTCTTTAATTTTACAGCTGAGACTAATGAGGTCTGAATTAAATGTAGAAGAAGTTGTACAACAACGTAGTTTGAAGGTAAATGGGACTAATACTAAGAAAAATTGACATAGTTTTGTTAACTCATTAACTGACAGTACTCTTCCACTGATGAGTAAAATCATCTGACATTAGACAGAGAATAAAAGTAGGTCACATCTGGGTGCATTGCAAGCTAATGGGTTAACAAGAGACACTGACAGATAGTTTTGTTAACTTATTAACTGACAGTATTCTTCCACTGATGAGTAAAATCATCTGACATTAGACAGAGTAAAATGCTAAAGTAGGTCATATCTGAGTGCATTGCAAGCTAATGGGTTAACAAGAAACACTGACAGATAGTTTTGTTAACTTATTAACTGACAGTACTCTTCCACTGATGAGTAAAATCATCTGACATTAGACAGACTAAAATACTAAAGTAGGTGACATCTGGGTGCATTACAAGCTAATGGGTTAACAAGAGACACTGACAGATATTTTGCCTTAACGAGAGACACTGGCAAATATATCAGTACTTTCAAATGCTCTATTAATATATTTTTAATATTTTTAAGGTATTTAATGAAAAATGCTGGAAGGTTTTCAAACCGCCATCATCCTAACACCCCTGGTTGGATACAACTATGAACTATTTGATAGAAACTTATGAATGATTTCCATTGAAAAGAAACAGCTCATTTATAGTGCATTATTGCTTTGAACAAGGACTTTGAGTCATGCTTTTAAATATTTTTGCATATTACATAACACTATTCTCCTCAATAATATGATGCAATATGTAAACTAATGCAAAAAAGAATGCTTTAAACTCCAAACTGTTACTTGTAATTTGGTAAAAAGCTGGAAAACAGTTAAAATATGTCCTGATGAAAAGTTGTTGGATCAACACTTGTACAATTCTGCTTCAAGTTTTTTTTATGGCATTTATTACCAGCAATCATCTTTTACATCCTTGTATGTTAATATATATTATTATTTCCAATTTTAAATGTGAGCCAACGAATGTTTGCAAGCTGCTAAGTTTGTTTAATGGCATTTATTACAAGCAATCATCTTTACATCCTTGTATGTTAATATGTATTTTTATTTCCCATTTTAAATATGAACCAACGAATGTTTGTAAGCTGCTTAGTTGTTAAAATAATCAATCTCGTCATAAAGGCTTTTGTTCAATTCTATTCCACTGAGTTCTGGACCTTGACCAGTGTTTGGAAGAGGTTGAAACACACGAAGATGCACGTATTTACCATCACCTATGTCAACCTGAAAAAAATTGGTCATATTAACTTCCGTTAGTTTAGTTTAGGTTTCCTCCTGTAGTAACACTGTATTAATAAGACATGATCCTCACTGGACCTCTAGGAAGAATAGTTTAGAACTGATAGAGCTATCCAGTATAAATAAAGTTAGTTTAGTTTAGGTTTCCACCTGTAGTAATACTGGATCAATAAGAGATGATCCTTACTGGATCTCTAGGAAGAACAGTCTAGAACTGATAGAGCTATCCAGTATAAATAAAGTTAGTTTAGTTTAGGTTTCCTCCTGTAGTAACACTGAATCAATAAGAGATTATCCTTACTGGATCTCTAGGAAGAACAGTTTAGAACTGATAGAACTATCCAGTATAAATAAAGTTAGTTTAGTTTAGGTTTCCTCCTGTAGTAACACTGAATCAATAAGAGATTATCCTTACTGGATCTCTAGGAAGAACAGTTTAGAACTGATAGAACTATCCAGTATAAATAAAGTTAGTTTAGTTTAGGTTTCCTCCTGTAGTAACACTGAATCAATAAGAGATGATCCTTACTGGACCTCTAGGAAGAACAGTTTAGAACTGATAGACCAATCTCCAGCATGAAAGTTGGACCTCGACGCACCTTAACAAAGTAATTCGTCCCTGCGACAACTTGCGGCCTAAACGAAATAGCCTCGTACTTGTCAAATTTCGACCCTGCTTGCGCTTCTGCTTCAGAACGAACCTAAAATGGCAAGGTTTAAAACAATATAAATGGTAGATCTGGATCCATACTGCAAGGTAACTATGAGTTAACAAGAGACACTGACAGACAGTTTATTTACATTTTCATGATCAAATCTAAGCTTTCTCTAAAGACTGTTGTAAGTCAAAAGCAAAATCACAAGCAATGTACATTACATCATAAAGAAAGTTCACTTTCCCTTTCAGTATTTCACCCAGTCTGAAGTATCAACTATTTTATATAAAAACTAGATCAAATTCCTTAAATGGAGATCTAATGATTGGCAATAAATCGTCTACTTGAGAAAGATCAATTATCCAGTTTGAACTCGAAGCGTTTAAGTAAATTGTTTACAATATAATCGATGATAATTCTCACATACTAAAGGAATGCAAGTTTTAAAAATTATAATATATTTAAAACAAACTTTATCATACAGAATCGATGAGTTTTTGGGTCTCTTCAGTTGCTTTCTGAACGGCTGACAATCCTCCGCACCTTTGAGCCATTATCCTTTTGATTTACTTACGAAGTGATAAAAAGCGATCTTGTTTCTCAAAATATTCCCCTTCGAAGAACCAAAATAACCAGTTATTGACCAGTTGTTATTAAACTTATTTTCAATATTTGCATCCGATCACGAGACTTGCAGGTCAATATTATGGTCACGTGAGCTATATTGCATAACCTGCTCATGTAATATAACAACAATGTATACCTTATCTATATATTCCATTCCAAAAATTCCGGTGAATTCTACGGTTTTCTACCTGTAATGTTATATTGGTTAAGTGAAATATTTTCAGATATTTTAGATAAATCTAGTTTAGATTAAGTTTGGATAAAATGACCTTACTGGAATTCTAGGAAGAACAGTTCAGAACAACTGGAAAAAAGTTAGTTTTTTTAGGTTTCCTTCCGTAGAAACGCTTCACCATGAAAGAGATGATCCTTACTGGACCTCTAGGAAGAACAGTTTAGAACTGATAGAGCTATCCAGTATAAATAAAGTTAGTTTAATTTAGGTTTCCTCCTGAAATAACACTGGTTCAATAAGAGATGATCCTTACTGGACCTCTAGGAAGAACAGTTTAGAACTGATAGAGTTATCCAGTATAAATAAAGTTAGTTTAGTTTAGGTTTCCTCCTGTAGTAACAGTGGATCAATAAGAGATGATCCTTGCTGGACCTCTAGGAAGAACAGTGTAGAACTGATAGGGCTTATCCAGTATTAAAAACAGTATATTTTTACAACAAAGCGGGTTAAAAAACTCAACGGAAGAAGGAATTCTACTATTATTAAAAGACTCGTGCCAGAAAACCCGTTTTGTAATTGTTGCAAAATTGAAAATTCTAATAAAATGTCTCAATTTTCTGGCCTTTAAATTTTAAATAACACGATAAATATTTTTCAAAAAACACGACTTTACAAAGGCAAAACTGCAAACGGTTTCTATTTCACCCGGGCATGAAATAAACCCCAGGATATCCAATGCCTTTTAAGGTATAATTTCTGAAATACAACCCTCTGTTTCGAGATATTATCTCTTAAAACAGGCAAACCATGGTCTATAAACAGGCTTCTACAGGTTCACTTTTGTAAGAGTTGACACTTTAAATATTGGCTTCTATTTCCTATAATTTGAGTGATAATCATTTCTAATTTAAAAAGCCTTTTAAAGCGTTAAAGGACGAATATTTTAGCATGTATTTCTCGCTGCAAAATGTCAAAATATTTGCTCAAAAACAAACAGGAAATATCAGTTGGTAGGTCAAATTACTCATGCCGACCTTCGATGCTTTGCGGCTATGCTGATGTACAAGTTATGTCTGAAATGCCGCTGTTGTTTTTGTTATGTAAATCATTTCTTTCTTTCAATATGCGATGTGATATTTAAATTTGAAGTGTCTTAACATTGCTTCATCCAAGCGAATCGTGTCAGAGGTTATAAAAAACTGCAAAATATTCGCTGTCGTTTTGTCTCGAGAAGCTCGTGGCGAAGATATGAAGTCAAACTAGTTCATCTCTCGTTGCTACCATGGCTGCTCAAGACTCGGCGATAAGCCATATAATTCGCAGCAATGTGGGTGAGTTGTTGTCGTTCATATCGACTTGTTTAAACAAATGTATACGTGTTTAAAATATTTGCAAAGCCATGCTGCTTGATGGCAGCGAAGTGCGTCAAGTTGACGGACAAAGTACACCTCGTTCGCTCGCTATATTTCTCAAGCTTTCGCTTTGAGCATTTGCAAGGGAGTGTGCTGTTCTTTTGCTTATACGAACGAACCATTTGCAAGCTTGCTTTTCGCTAGATTTCGCTAGATTTCGCTAGATCTTCTTGACTGTTTGTTTGATCAAAGAGTTCGCGATGAATTATATTATCATGGCTGAATGAATATGCAAGTTCGAGACGACTTTCGTTTGTAAAACCTCGTGGTTTTTTGAACGATATCAGTTCACATATATAACCGGATAATATGCGATGTAGTTCTGGGAAGACGTGGAAGGCTTTAGTCCGTCTCGTCTGCTGCTGAGAGACGCAGATCAATTGTACAAGAATTAACAAAGAATCCTACAATAAATTGAACCGTATAAACGTCATACTTTGCAATGTAATGGATAATGATGTTTGTTTATCGTTTTACTAAAGCAATTCATTTGTACAAATCTTTGTACAAATCTCCCGTCCGATTCATTGCAAGCTAAACTTGAGCGTTCAGACGTTCAACAAGCCGTAATTCTTGAGAAATATTTTGTAAATTTTAGAAGAATAAAGGTTTAGTTACAGCCGAGAGAGACGAATAAAGGTTTAGTTTACAGCCGTCTTTTACAATACACCGATGGTTGGTTCTGGATTAAACTATAAGGCTGTAATGGTTTGATTTTGTGAACTTGAATAAACAATGGAGATTTGAAATTGTGTATGTAAATACTCAAGCTTCCTGCAGCTTTTAAGTTAGGGAACATTGTTGGGCGTTGATGTAGTCGATTCTGAAAAAGTTAAACACTTGCAATTGTAATGATTGCCGCGGTGTTTCGGTACAAACAGGCTTTTATCCGGCAAATGTGTCCACGGTAAACACCTGGTTTTGCTTAGAAATCATCTAGCAATAGATTAAAATAATCTGCAGTAGAGTAAATCATCTGCAGTAGAGTAAAATACTAAAGTAGGCCACATCTAGGCGATTAGTAAAGCGAGTGGGTAGAGCTCCACCCTAGATCTTCCCCGACCTTCCCCCAATTAAACACCCTTCATTGTGTTTGAAAACAGGAGAAACCTTTCAAGAATACACCCCGCTGTCGCATTTGAAAACAAAATTCAATTCAATTCTTATGTTATTTTGCTCTAACACCAGAGAATAGCTCTCGTTCGTCAAATGGAGAGCGGGGATTAATGTGCACAACACGCTTCCGTTTAAAAGGTGAATAACGACTCATTTTTAATAGCCAACAATGGCTGGCAATTTTAACACCGGTAATGCTTCATTTACGCCTTGTTGTTTGTGTTTTTCATACAAGAAATAACTCTCAAAATCTTCAAACGTTTCCACAACGAAATTATTCTCCACAGACTCGATAAGATTTGAACCAAGATGTCAGATTGAAATTTTCAAAAGGTTGACATGATTATTTTAGCGTCTGAACTGAATTCATATTGTTGAAATTATTTGCATATCTGATCAATTCCTTCTAGAAGAATATTTGGATCATTTTTTAAACGTATAAAGCTTTTTGTATGCCGAATATGTTAGAGGCGTCTAAAGTCAATTTGAAGATACCTGTAATTACTATATCCGCGGTAGAAAGTTAGACTTTTGTAAAACATTAGCCTTATTATATAACAAGCTAACCTGGCTACCTTGGGGGGTCTATATCTTTCGTATTTACATTTATATATAAGGATTTTTGGTAAAATTCCTCCCGTTAGAGGATATATAGTGCTGTAAAATTGAGTAAAATCATCTGGCATTAGAGTGAAATACTAAAGTAGGTCACATCTGGGTGCATTGCAAGCTAATGGGTTAACAAAAGACACTGAAAGATAGTTTTGTTAACTTATTAACTGACAGTATTCTTCCACTGATGAGTAAAATCATTTGGTATTAGACAGAGTAAAATACTAAAGTAGGTCACATCTGGATGCATTGCAAGCTAATGGGTTAACAAGAGACACTGAAAGATATTTTTGTTAACTTATTAACTGACAGTACTCTTCCACAGATGAGTAAAATCATCTGACATTAGACAGATTAAAATACTAAAGTAGGTCACATCTGGGTGCATTGCAAGCTAATGGGTTAACAAGAGACACTGAAAGATATTTTTGTTAACTTATTAACTGACAGTACTCTTCCACTGATGAGTAAAATCATCTGACATTAGACAGATTAAAATACTAAAGTAGGTCACATCTGGGTGCATTGCAAGCTAATGCATGGTTATGTTATATTAAATCCACGACTATATGCGTCGTTGAACGCGCCAACGAAGCGATAATTATTTACATTACTTTTCTTTCAGAATCTCTGGAAGAGATAAACATTCGTACATTTACGAAATGGATAAACTCAAAGCTTGGCGGAGTAAGAATTCCTTCGTTATTCATACTGGTATTGACATAAAAGGACACGGTTTTTAAATGAACTTTGGGCTTCTTCTCTTTAGGAACAGCCAGCCGTAAAAAATCTGATCAAAGATTTGCAAGATGGTCGCGTTCTTTTGTCGCTCTTACAAGTTCTGCTAAAAGTCAAACTTGTAAGTATATTTTTACCCGTTCCTGTATGTGTTATGTTTGAAGTTTTTGCAGCTCTCAATCCTATTTACATTGCGTTTAACTGAAAAATTTCAGCGCGCTGAAAAAGGCAAACTGAAGTTTCACAAAATCAACAATGTCAATAAAGTTTTGAAGACTTTGGAAGACGAAGGGGTAAGAATTTGACCGGCGCGCACCAGTTTAGCAGGTTTTAGAAGTAGATAGATTTAATTTTGATATCTGAAAGCCGATATTTTGGAAGAAATCGATACCAGAGTTGTAAAAAAATCTACTATCGTTAAGTAATCTTCAGGAATATTATATGACAAGATGAGTCTAAAAGCTTTTAGAAATGTTTCGAATCTCTGCGGTCTTGTGACATCTTATATTTGAATGAAACTGTAGAGTATAGTATAGTATTGACCGTCTTTTATTTAAATCTACCAGCCTATAGCTAGGCTCGCTTGGTTTCATGATATACCAGCTTTGATGGCACACAAAATGACATTACACTTCATAAATTACATCACAATTTAACAAGGCAACTTTAGAGAAATGAACTTTGTCCCTAAAGTTCTTTTTAGTTTCTTAGAAATTTTTCCGGAAACTTTCGATTGTAATTCATGCAAAATCGAGCTGGTAATTTTCGACTTTTTTCATCCTTGAGTGCGTTCGGGCAAATTCAATCAAAATTATTCATTTATTTTAATGAGAAGTGTATAATATTGGTAGTTCGTCACGTTTTATACTTCTGGAGAGAAATTAGAGTCGATTTAGCATTCATGCGAAACTATAAAATCTTTTGTGCTTCACGAACCAAGTTGACCTCTTTACAAATACCAAGGGCAAGGTTAAATCATTTTTTCGTATTCTGTATAAACGAGACCTTTTATATGTTTAGATTTAGTACAAAATATATAAGTTGGCATTTAATGGATGGCAGTTTAGTTCTGGACAAAATTAGACTAAATTTTGTTTCACAAGATCCAATTTGTCGGAAACAATGTACTTCTGACGTATGGAATGTTGTGTGTTACTGATAAAGCAGTACTCCATCGGCTTCAGTAGATTTCGTTCCAAGATACATTGCACGTCGACAGACTATAAAACATCTGTCAGGAGTGAATGATATATTTTGCAAAATTAGATCGTGTTAACAGACCTTATAGCGCTAATTATGTTCTTGACATTTTGACGTGTAGTTTATTAAAAAATACAATTATACCTCGAAGTTTAGCGTTATCAAATGAGATTCAATTTCATACTTTTATCAAGCTGTCATGTTGCAAAATTTAGCGCAAATCTTGTAGTTTATCATATATTTTAAATGTGAATATATTTTGCACTAAGACCAAATTACCCGATGATATTCGTATCTGCATTCACCTACAAAACTCGCATTTAAACCCTAATATTTAAATTTCAGTTAAAACTTCATGGCATCAGCCCAGAGGCAATCGTTGATGGAAACAAAATCTCAATTCTGGGTCTAGTATGGATAATAATCCTTCATTTCCAGGTAAATTTCAACCATACTTTCCTCACGATAAATATTTTCATTAAACTGCGACAATTTTGTTACAACAGAACCTTTCTAGAAATTTTGTAATCTTTTCTTTTATGGAAAGATATTTGCCTGAACGTTGGCGATTATTACCAAAATACATTAATATTATGGTTCGCCGAAAACTTGTAAACTATCACTTGACCAAATTTGGAGACGAAATAGAATAATATATTAGGTTTTAAATTGTGCAGAGCCCTTGATTTCAGTAGGAATTATCATTGGTATAGAAAGAACGGGGAGTTCTTCTAACCAGAATTTGTTACATGGCTGACTTTAAATTTGCATAGCAAGCAAAGTCGAATATCTCGAACAAAGAACTAGAAAGGGATTAGGAAGTAACAGTAAGAATTTCTGAAGAGCTTTTCGGCTATTCCGTCGTAAAATTGGTTGCAAGAACGCGTGTGCTTTTAGTGATGTACTGTAATGAAATATTTGCTGTCGAGAAAACCTCGTAAGGTAGCAATTCAAAGCCCTATCCACTCAGATGTAGCTCCCTTAAGAGCTTTCTAGTAAGTTGCTAAGGACTACAGACACGTCTCGTTGGCGAGGGATTCGTGAATATATTTTGCAAGAACATTTGAGCGACATCAATGGATATTTTCGTTACGTTTTAAACGAACGCGTCTAAGGTTGCCATCGAACTTGCTCTAACAGGTACAAGGTATAATGTTCGAAGAAGATACTGAAAGTTTTGAAGAAAAGACTGATGCAGCTCAACGTAAGAAGTCTGTAGCAAGTCAGGCAGACGTTGAAAGACTTCTTATAAAATGGATTCAAGATGTCTTGAAAGGGTGCGTTGTTTATTTGTGATTCTTGTAACCTTCTGAGGATATCTTTTGAGATTTACCTCTCAGATGAAGCAGTAGTGCTGAAAATGAGTCTTTGTTTTATTAGATTTTCCGATGTTGTAACAATCGAAGATATTTTGAAAAGTTGGCAGAATGGTCTGGCCTTTATATTGCTCATGTTTGTGTACAGGTAAGGAGTAATGCTTGAAATATTGTTCCCCCAGCGCCCAATCGTGTCTAAATCGTGTCTATGTTTCCTCCTGTAGTAACTCTGGATCAATAAGAGATGATCCTTACTGGACCTCTAGGAAGAACAGTTTAGAACTGATAGAACTATTCAGTATAAATAAAGATAGTTTAGTTTAGGTTTCCTCCTGTAGTAACACTGGATCAATAAGAGATGATCCTTACTGGACCTCTACTAAAAACAGTTTAAAACTGATAGAGCTATCCAGTATAAATAAAGTTAAGTTTAGGTTTTCTCCTGTAGTAACACTGGATCAATAAGAGGCGATCCTTACTGGACCTCTAGGAAGAACATTTTAGAACTGATAAATCTATGTATATTTATCGAGAGCGCAAATATATTTCAGGCCAACTGCTGTTGATATTGACAAAGCTCAGAAAATGGCGGTGTTGGAAAGATTGGAATACGCTTTTGATATCGCTGAGAAGGAGTTCGACGTCCATCGCTTGCTCGACCCTTCTGGTATGTTGTTTTCTTTGGTGTCTTTGTAGATATGAAAATAAATTGAATTCCCCCCCCCTGCATTCTCCAGATGTCGAACAGGGAAACGTGGACAAGAAAGCGATGCTGATGTATCTTTCCGCGTTATACGAAGTATTGCGTAACCTTGAGCCAGCTGTTGTCGAGACCACAACCACAACCCGAGAGGTTAGCGAAGAGCCTGGTGAAGAGGGAATCGTTAAATCCACCACGTCATTCGTTGTAGAGGTACGGTACCCGTTTTAAGATTTCAGACAAGTCCAGTGTAGGTAGTATTCTACAATAAGCTGTCGTGGTTTGTGTCTGAACTACCTGAAAAAGATATCTCAAACGTGCTGGTCCAGTGTAGGTAGTATTCTACAATAAGCTGTCGTGGTTTGTGTCTGAACTACCTGAGAAAGATATCTCAAACGTGGTGGTTCAGTGTAGGTAGTATTCTACAATAAACTGTCGTGGTTTGTGTCTGAACTACCCGAGAAAGATATCTCAAACGTGGTGGTCTAGTGTAGGTAGTATTCTACAATAAGCTGTCGTGGTTTGTGTCTGAACTACCTGAGAAAGATATCTCTAACGTGGTGGTCCAGTGTAGGTAGTTTTCTACAATAATCTGGTAAAATTAAATTTCTTAACGTTTCTTTCTCAGAGTGCCCCTGGTAGTGAGTCAACCACATTGAGAATTGGTGATGAAGATATTGACATAACCACAGTGTCAAGCAATGAAATTGTCCTGCAATACAAGACGATATACTACACAGTTCTGTACACCATCAAGGGACTTGAGGCAAGAATGGAGAAAATCAGAAGCGAAGAACCCAGTCAGGAAAACGCGAGGGCTTTGCGGGTAAGATTTTGACGGGCTGTGGGTTTTATAGGAGGGGAATGGGACGGATTGAGGGGGTATTAAGATAGGGGGACCACAGGGATATAGAATGGCGTGGTAAAGAAGATGAGAGGTGATGTCAAATTGAGTATCCACGATGTTATAGCGAGGCGGTTTCATTCATTTTAGGAAATTCAGAAAGAAATGCACGAACTCCAGGCTAAAGTCAAGGAGCTGAACGAAACAAATAAAGAAATGTCCAAAGCTGACGGAGTTGATCGTCAAGAATTCTCGGACATTCAAAAAGAGTTACGGGAACTCAGCAGTCGATGGTCCACGCTGATACAACACAATAATGAAGAATCGAAGAGGTAAAACTAACAATGTCGTTTTGCAGAAGCATAAACGGCCATTTTGATTGTATATTTTTACTGCGATATTAATGCGCGAGTTTCTCCTTTTGGTGGATGGGAACGAGTGAAGTAGTTACTGATGTTTGAATAAGAGCTCTTATACATCACAGCATTCGTAACTAAGTACTCGTTCACATCTATCAAAAGAAGAAAAACTCGCACGGACCTTGACATAAAGTTTTATACTGTTTTATACTAAAGTTGAAACTTTCGTGAATTTTTCATTAAGCGCTGGCTAGCAATAACATAAGATAATTATTCATTTCCATAGATTAACGGCTTGAAAACTCTTTTCAACGAATGCCTACCGTTCTGTTCTTTCAAAAGGCTGTAGAAATCACTACTAAACGATCATTACTATCTTTTCTGAACAATCAACTAGCGATAAACTGTGTCTAAATACTCAGAAATTCATCGATTTTTAAACATCGAATTCTCTAAAATAATAAAATATTTCATTCCCAAAGGCAACCAGCAGTCGTAAGAGAAATTAGAACCTCAACGACATACCAGGTAATCGCCAATTATTCTAGTTTGAGTCGGAATTAATCCATGTTTTTTGAAAAAAAATCAAAGAATTTTTGCTCTTAACTCCGTGATTTTTCATTTGTGTTCATATAGACTGCTCGACTCACAATTGGTGATAAAGTTATCGAGATCACATCTGTTTCAACCAACGAAATAGTGATAAGATACAAGATTGTTTATTACAAAATAATTTACATCATCGAAAGGATTGAATCGAACATGAGGATCATCAAAGACAGTCCACCAAGCCAGGAAACTGCAAGATTACTTGATGTGAGTTTTTTCATAAAGAATAACTTTCGTATTTGCTTGAAACGTTATAGAACTGGGGCTGGTTGTATCAAGCCCGTTTAGCTTAAATGGTGGATAAGTCAAAATTAAATAACACTCTTACAACTCTCTTGAATGAGTCAACTTGAATATTATGCACTGAATATGTAGTTGTAAACAGTACCTTTGTATTAAGGTTAAAAACATTTAGTTTGCTTGTTGAATAAAACGATAAACTTGCTTTCTATTTTGAACTTAACCACCGTTTAGGCTAAACGGGCTTGATACAACCGGCCCCTGGTAAAGAATATATACAAAATAATTCTTCCTATATACCCAAGTCAAGTACCCTTCACTAAACGGAAAATCCGGCTGTCTAAAGTTTATATGGATTCTGCCTTGCGATATTTAGAACTCTTCAAAACTCATGTTTCTTTATTTGTTGTTTACCTGTTTGTGTGTTTGTTTGTTTTCTGATGGTCATGACAACTGCGGTCTCTTTTGTAGGAGAATAAACAAAGGATGGAACAATTGAAGCCACAGATTGCTGAGCTGAAGGAACTTATGTCAGAAATGAGAGATGCTGACGGCGTTGATGCAGATGAACTTGCTCAACTACAGTCTGAACTATCAGACTTCGATTCCCGCTTGTCCTCAGCCACGGAGGCTATTAACGAAGAAGAGAAAAGGTGAATTGTAAAAAGATCTTTTTCCAATCCCGTAACGACCGCCATTGATGAGAATCTCTTTTGATTTCAACTATAAAATACTAAAGTAGGCCACATCTGGGTGCATTGCAAGCTAATGGGTTAACAAGAGACACTGACAGATAGTTTTGTTAACTTATTAACTGACAGTACTCTTCCACTGTTGAGTAAAATCATCTGACATTAGACAGAGTAAAATCCTAACGATTTACGATTACTTTTAGACAACCATCGCTGGCTACGGAGACTGTTTACAGAACAACTACAATTGTTGAGTCCGAGGCAAGTATCCATATCTTTCTCAGGTAGTTCAGACACAAACCACGACAGCTTATTGTAGAATACTACCTACACTGGACCACCATGTTTGAGATATCTTTCTCAGGTAGTTCAGACACAAACCACGACAGCTTATTGTAGAATACTACCTACACTGGACCACCACGTTTGAGATATCTTTCTCAGGTAGTTCAGACACAAACCACGACAGCTTATTGTAGAATACTACCTACACTGGACCACCACGTTTGAGATATCTTTCTCAGGTAGTTCAGACACAAACCACGACAGCTTATTGTAGAATACTACCTACACTGGACCACCATGTTTGAGATATCTTTCTCAGGTAGTTCAGACACAAACCACGACAGCTTATTGTAGAATACTACCTACACTGGACCACCACGTTTGAGAAAACTTAAATTCAGTTTCTTTTTCAATCATAGAGTTCTGCTCCAACCACAACCACATTGAGAATTGGTGATGAAGATATTGACATAACCACAGTGTCAAGCAATGAAATTGTCCTGCAATACAAGACGATATACTACACAGTTCTCTATACCATTAAGGGACTTGAGGCAAGAATGGAGAAGATCAGAAACGAAGAACCCAGTCAGGAAAACGCGAAGGCTTTGCGGGTAGGTCAACTAAACTAACCTCATTTATATGGCATGGATAGCTCTATCAGTTCTAAACTGTTCTTCCTAGAGGTCCATTAAGGATCATCTCTTATTGATCCAGTGTTACTACAGGAGGAAACCTAAACTGAACTAACTTTATTTATACTGGATAGCTCTATCAGTTCTAAACTGTTCTTCCTAGAGGTCCAGTAAAGATCATCTCTTATTGATCCAGTGTTACTACAGGAGGAAACCTAAACTAAACTAACTTTATTTATACTGGATAACTCTATCAGTTCTAAATTGTTCTTCCTAGAGGTCCAGTGAGGAACATCTTTTATCGATCCAGTGTTACTACAGGAGGAAACCTAGACTTAGTTTACCTAAACTAAATGACTTTGTCACTAACAACTTATTCTTTCATCTCAGGAAATCAACAAGGAAATGCAAGAGCTTCAGGTGAAGATCAAGGAACTAAACGAGACAAACAGAGAAATGTCAAAAGCTGAAGGAGTTGATCGTCAGGAATTCTCTGAAATCCAAACAGAATTAGGACAACTTGGCAGCCGTTGGTCGGCGTTGATTCAACACTGTAACGATGAAAACAAGAGGTAAGGAAGAGGTCTTGCCACCCCAGAAACAACACAAGCAGAAAGTTTAGTTATTTTAATTTCCCTATAGCTGCTTTGCATAGCTTAAATTCTACCGGCCTTATCGAAAATCATATATTTACTTCAGTTTTCTTCATAACTTAAGGATTATCAATATTTCATATCGAATCATCACGTTTTAGGCAACCAAGAATTGTCACATACAAAACTACGACGACTGTTGTTCCGGTAAGCGACGTCTGAAATATGTTTACTGCAAATCTAGTGAAAGATTTGAGTAGAGTTTGTTTTGTTATTGACGTTGTTTTTCTTTCCAATCATCGCAGAGGCATAAAGCACGTCTTACAATTGGCGATGAGGTGATCGAGATTACCTGTGTTTCTACGAATGAAATTGTGATTAAATACAAGATTGTTTATTATCAAATCATCACAATTATGAAAATCATCGAATCCAATATGAAAGTCATCAACGAAGAAGAACCAAGTCAGAAAACTGCAATACTTCTTGATGTAAGTTGAAGCTTTTTGTTCTTCTTCTTTTATGCAACCAAAATAACTTTATTTATACTGGATAACTCTATCAGTTCTAAACTGTTCTTCCTAGAGGTCCAGTAAGGATCATCTTTTATTGATCCAGTGTTACTACAGGAAGGAAACCTAAACTAAACTAACTTTATTTATACTGGATAGCTCTATCAGTTCTAAACTGTTCTTTCTAGAGGTTCAGTAAGGATCATCTCTTATTGATCCAGTGTTACTACAGGAGGAAACCTAAACTAAACTAACTTTATTTATACTGGATAGCTCTATCAGTTCTAGACTGTTCTTCCTAGAGGTCCAGTAAGGATCATCTCTTATTGATCTAGTGTTACTACAGGAGAAAACCTAAACTAAACTAAATTTATTTATACTGGATAGTTCTATCAGTTCTAAACTGTTCTTCCTAGAGATCCAGTAAGGATCATCTTTTATTGATCCAGGGTTATTACATTAGGAAGTCATCGTTTTTGTGCGTTTTCTGATCATAAATCCTTGTTTCTGCAGGAAAACAGACAGAGAATGGAACAGCTTCAACCGAAGATCACAGAATTAAACGAACTGATGTCACAAATGAAAGACGCTGATGGTGTGGATCCAGATGAACTGGCTCAGCTACAGTCTGAACTGTCAGATTTCGACTCCAAACTGGGAACTTTGAAAGAGGACATTAAAAATGAAGAAAAGAGGTCAGAATTTGAAGGATAAGTTTCTGTTGTGTTTATAGTTTCCAGGTGCTCTGGAATTGCGAAAATGACTGTGACTATATGCCAAGTAAAAATCTATTTCTCGGTTGAAAGAACTTAATAACTTTTGAAATATCAAATGTGGTATAACAACTGCCTAAAACAGACAAAACACTTCTCGATGTTTCGACCTGAGGGCCTTCGTCAGGAGAGTTAGTATGAAATATACTTTATCTTGGTTATATTAAAGCTTTAGTTCGTATAACTAAACATAATCCTAAAGTCTCGACTAGTTTCCTAAAGAATAACAAAAGATGTAATCGATTAAATGCTGAAGAATGTATTTCTATTTTGACCAAACTTTTGAGCGTAGATTTGCTGAAATATAAGAGCTTGATCACCTGGTTATTCTGCTTTTGATAAATCGTTTTTGCTCTCTTGTTTCAGGCAACCGCAGCTGACAACCAGAATAACTTATACAACCGAAACAAGAGTTGTTGATGTAAGTGTTTAGAGCGACGCCGTGTCTTCAATTCTGATCAAAATGTTTTTGCATTGCGTGTTTACATCTCAGCTGATAACCTTGCTGCAAGTTTATTAACTCAAATGACTTGTTTACTAGTCTTTCAATCGATTTGTCGGGAAGCTAGTTCGTATTTCCGAACACATCTTGTGGTTAAAAATGAGATTTTCACTCGTAAAGTAAAGTAATGTGTGATATTTATTGACGTCTTTGTTTTCATCCAGGGTGGTCGCACGTACCAGTTGCGTGATGGAGATAAAGTGATTGAAATTAAAACCGTTTCAACGAACGAGATCGTGATGCGTTACAAGATCCTTTACTATCAAATCATCACCATTATGGAGGTGATTGATTCAAACACTACCACAATCAGAGAGGGACAACCAAGCCAGGAAACTGCGAGACTTCTTTTGGTATGATTAACTTGCTCTATTGATTTATCGATTACTTCACTGATCAATTATTGCTTGTTTGTTTCGAGTAATGATTGCTTGATCGAGTTATTGATTCCTTGGTTGGATTATTGATTGCATGATTTAAATATTGATTGATTGGAATATTGATTGATTTCGTTATTGATGGCGTGATTGAATCATCGATTTTTTGAATGGAGTATTGATTGCTTGATTGAAATATTGATTGCTTCATTTGATGATGATTGCTTGATTGAATACTGATTGATGCATTTGAATACTGATTGATGCATTTGATTATTGATTGCTTGATTGAAATATTGATTACTTCATTTGAAAAATGATTGCTTGATTGTAATAACGATTGTTTTATTCAATTGCGTAATTCCTTGATTGAAGTATTGATTACTCGACTAATTGCTAGCTTGATTGATATTTACAATACTTTGTTGATCGATTTATTGATTGCATAATGTATCGACAGTGTTCATAATCATCGTTGTCCCCTCTCACAGGAGAATAAGTACAAGATGGAACAGTTGCAACCGAAGATCACTGAGTTGAATAAACTAATGGCAGAAATGAAAAATGCCGATGGCGTTGACGCTGATGAACTATCGCAACTTCAATACGAAATGTCTGAATTTGACTCAAGAATGGGAACATTGAACGAAGACATCAAAAATGAAGAGAAGAGGTGAAACCACATTGACGAATTAGGTTTTTTAAAATCATAACTTCCTGAGTTCCCAACTTCAGACGTTTTGCGACTTTTGAGAAATTAACTTCAGCTAACCGATGCAGCCCAAATGGATATAATGAAAATCATGAAATTCTCAGTACTTTTGTAATATGGAAACTACAGGGTGATAATCAATGTCCAAAATGTTTCTGGAGTGAAACCACAGCACTATATTCACCCTCTGTTGTTCTTTTCTTTCAGACAACCGCCTATTCAAGGTGAAACGATTTCCAGGACAACAACTACCACTGTTCAGGTATGCAGTATGAATAAAGTTAGTTTAGTTTAGGTTTCCTCCTGTAGTAACACTAGATCAATAAGAGATGATCCTTACTGGACCTCTAGGAAGAACAGTTTAGAACTGATAGAACTATCCAGAACAGTTTCGAAATATTTTTCTTGTTTCCTTAGTCAACCCCTGAAGCTCCTGCTAAGCGAACAACTGTGAAATATGGAGATAGCGTCTTTGAAATCACTACAATATCGACAAATGAAATTGTCGTTCGCTACAAGATCCTCTACTATGAAATCATGACACTCGTAATGCAATTAGAAAAAGACATGGCGCAAATTAAAGATGCTCCACCGAGCAATACTACCTCAGTCATGTTGAAGGTAAGACTAACTCTTGTTCTCGTTTGATCAAGCAATGATAGTTGATGAAACTCTCATGTAAACTCTCGCTTATCAACTCTCATGCAACTCTTGTTCTCGTTTGATCAAGCAATGATAGTTGATGAAACTCTCATGTAACTCTCGCTTGTCAACTCTCATGCAACTCTTGTTCTCGTTTGATCAAGCAATGATAGTTGATGAAACTCTCATGTAAACTCTTGCTTGTCAACTCTCATGCAACTCTTGTTCTCGTTTGATCAAGCATAGTTGATGAAACTCTCATGTAAACTCTGCTTGTCAACTCTCATGCAACTCTTGTTCTCGTTTGATCAAGCAATGATAGTTGATGAAACTCTCATGTAAACTCTTGCTTGTCAACTCTCATGCAACTCTTGTTCTCGTTTGATCAAGCAATGATAGTTGATGAAACTCTCATGTAAACTCTCGCTTGTCAACTCTCATGCAACTCTTGTTCTCGTTTGATCAAGCAATGATAGTTGATGAAACTCTCATGTAAACTCTCGCTTGTCAACTCTCGTGCAACTCTTGTTCTCGTTTGATCAAGCAATGATAGTTGATGAAACTCTCATGTAAACTCTCGCTTGTCAACTCTCATGCAACTCTTGTTCTCGTTTGATCAAGCAATGATAGTTGATGAAACTCTCATGTAAACTCTCGCTTGTCAACTCTCATGCAACTCTTGTTCTCGTTTGATTAAGCAATGACAGTTGATGAAACTCTTATGCAAACTCAGTGCATTTTCTTTGCAGCAAAGTAAAGATCAGATGGCGGAAATTCAGGCCAAAATAAACGAGCTTCAAGAAATAAGAAAGGATATGGACGAAGCAGACGGTGTTGACCCAGAGGAACTGAAGCAAATTCAGAATGGTTTGGAATCGCTCGTTTCACGATGGACTATTGTGACACATGATATTGAAACAGAGGATGAAAGGTACCATAATATTGTTTAGGTTTCCTCCTGTAGTAACACTGGATCAATAAGAGATGATCCTTACTGGACCTCTAGGAAGAACAGTTTAGAACTGATAGAACAAATAAAGTTAGTTTAGTTTAGGTTTCCTCCTGTAGTAACACTGGATTAATAAGAGATGATCCTTACTGGACCTCTAGGAAGAACAGTTTAGAACTGATGGAGCTATTCAGTATGAATAAAGTTAGTTTAGTTTAGGTTTCCATCTGTAGTAAAACTGGATCAATAAGAGATGATCCTTACTTAATATTTCTTAGGATCACAAGTCACTTAGACAGCAGTGGTAAACAGAAAACATCGCTGGACGAATGGCGTAAAAAATGTGAGACAATCGGCGATTGGATGGACTCTGTCGAAGACAGCGTTGAGGTTCTGGAAAATAGAAAGCCATCGAGTGATATCTTCAGGGCAAAACAACAGATGAATGAATGTGATGTAAGATTTTCAATACGTTATGTAAATCATCTGACATTAGACAGAGTAAAATACTAAAGTAGGTCACATCTGGGTGCATTGCAAGCTAATGGGTTAACAAGAGACACTGACAGATAGTTTTGTTAACTTATTAACTGACAGTATTCTTCCACTGATGAGTAAAATCATCTGAGATTAGACAGAGTAAAATACTAAAGTAGGTCACATCTGGGTGCATTGCAAGCTAATGGGTTAACAAGAGATGCTGACAGATAGTTTTGTTAACTTATTAACTGACAGTATTCTTCCACTGATGAGTAAAATCGCCTGACATTAGACGGTAAGGTTGGGAGTACACTCGAGGGGTTTACCCTATTTCTCTTAATCTCTTTGTTGATATAAGTTTGAAAGTTCCTAGACTAATGCTTTGTGTGTTTTTCCCAGGCTTTGCAAGAGAAGATCAAATCAGACGAAGTTCCAAGATCAACGTTTGCTTATGGCGAAGAAATTACAAACGAACCCAGTCTTAATTCGGATCAAAAGTCCAAAATCAGACTACAAATGACTGAAATGAAAAAGGAGATTAAAAAACTATCCGACAGAGCTGGTGATGCAAAACACAGGTTTGTTTTCGAGCTGTTTTCGATTTCATTTAGTGCTGTTTGGGTTTTGACCATGAGAAATTACAATCTCTTTCTTCATAGATACAAACGTGCGGTAGACAAGCTGGAAGCTGAAAGAAAACAAAAATTAGTTGATCTGAATAAGACCTATCAGGAATTGGATAAAGAAATCGATGTTTTGATACAAAAAGATAATAAAATTGGCGCAGTTGAGGGTAATCCAGCCGAAGTGCGAGCCAAAGAAACGCAGATTGAGGTACAGCGGTTTTTAATATTTAGACATGCGTATTCCATTGTTTCAGCCTTTCATGGTGACATCATAGCTACGATTAATATGAATTTTCTTGTCCACAGTTACTCGTCTCTGATATCCACGTGTTCCAGCCTCGTTTTGACGAGTTTCGGCAAACGTCCTGGGAGGTCTTGGAGGATCCGACAATCGACCAATCACAAAAGGACAGACTCCAGAAGCACGTGACGTCATCGGAGGAACGCTGGGGCGCCCTCATACGATCTGTTTACTCAAGAAGCGAAGCGTAAGTTTCTTGCAGTAAAACTTCACTGGAAATCCGTTGAGAGACGAATTCCACTCGAAAATTTCACACATAGGTTGTATCAAGCCCGTTTAGCTTAAACGGTGGATAAGTTCCAAATAGAAAGCAAGTTCATCGTTTTGTTCAACAAGCAAACTAAATGTTTTTAACCTTAATACAAAGATACTGTTTACAACTACATATTCAGTGCATAATATTCAAGTTGAGTCATTCAAGAGAGATGTAAGAGTGTTATTTAATTTTGACTTATCCACCGTTTAAGCTAAACGGGCTTGATACAACCGGCATCAGCTGTCTTGTATAAATTGTAGTCTGGATATGTTCTTAATGTTTGTCTTACAACTTGTTTAGCGATTGTTGATCACTTGGAAACGCTTTTTCTCAGCAAATTCGTGATTTTTTTGCGTGTTTTTTTCGTTTAGAGCAAAGCGTCTCATCTCGGGGTTGCCCCAAGGCGGTGTGCTCGAGGAGTTGATCATTGTTGAGAATCGACGCCATGATTATAATCTCGACTGGAAGATGCATCATGATCTGTTTGGAGCTCCTGGAGAGTAAGTCATGTTCTCGTTCGATCAAGCAATGATAGTTGATGAAACTCTCATGTAAACTCTAGCTTGTCAACTCTCATGCAACTTTTGTTCTCGTTTGATCAAGCAATGATAGTTGATGAAACTCTCATGTAAACACTTTCTCAACTTAAATTTTCCAGACATGATGAAGGTGCAGTTGATGAGGAGATTTATCGAGAACGACTGATGACAAAATGGAAACGAGAATGCAGAGAGGTGGATGAAGCTTTGTCAGACGTTGAAAAAGAAAGCTCAGAACTTGGCGAAATCATTGATGAACCGAACAAAACAGCAATGAAAAATGCGAAAATGCAGGTAGGTTTAGTTGGATCTAAGTTCAAGTTTAGTTTATCAAAACAACGTTTAGTTCAAACAACGTTTTAAAGATTACAGTTTTTGAAAACATTACAAACAACGAGCACTGGAAAGAATGCTATTAGAAACCGTAGAATCTTCAAAAGGATTAACTAATTTTCAAGTCTGATTGCGTATAAAATACAAAAATAATCTTGTCAGGTGATCCGCGAAGGTTTAAAAAAGGTCGAGAAAGAGTACAATGACTTGCCGGAATACGCAAAACTGCTTCTCGATGACCCAAAACTAGTCGAGGATGATCATCAGAAAATCCAAGAAGATTTGGATTCGTATAAGATCCGGTATGATGATCTCACGAAGTTGGTTTCTGAGAGAGAAGAAACGTAAGTATTACCTTGGAGAGATGTCATTGATTCACGTTTAATCTTTTGTGAATAACTTTAATGCTTTTAATGTTTAGAATAAAGCGTCAAGAACCACCGAAATCTACTGTTGTTGTCACAGAAAATTATGTTACTGAAAGAAAATCGGCAGAAATTATTGTGCCTGAAATACTAACTGTCGAAGAGAGGTTAGTGTACCTAGTTTAAGATTGCAACTGGAGTTATTCTGGATCAATAAGAGATGATCCTTATTGGACCTCTGGGAAGAACAGTTTAGAACTGATAGAGCTATCCAGTATAAATAAAGTTAGTTTAGTTTAGGTTTCCTCCTGTAGTAACACTGGATCAATAAGAGATGATCCTTACTGGACCTCTAGGAAGAACAGTCTAGAACTGATAGAACTATCCAGTATAAATAAAGTTAGTTTAGTTTAGGTTTCCTCCTGTAGTAATACTGAATCTATAAGAGATCATTCGTGATAGATATTTAATAGTTTACTAATGATGAGTATTTTAACTCTGATTTTTAGCGCCCCAGATGCATTATTCAGTGAACCAGAAGTTCCTGGTAATACTGAAGAGATAGACGCTTGGTGGGGCGATGACCGCAAAGTTGTAAGCTGGATTGAAAGGGTGGATAACCAAGTTAAAGTCGCCGAAAAGGAACCATCCACATTAGATCTTCCCACCACAAGAAGACAACATGCAAATATTGAGAGAATGACGCAGGAAATTGGAGTTTACGAGACAAACGTGACTTTGCTTGAGAACAAAGCCAACGCCATCGTCAGTGATCCGGTAACGAGAAGCGAAGATGGTCAAAACATTGACGTGGAAATTAAAACTGTGAAGAAAAAATGGGATAGTTTGAAAGAAAGAGCTTTCAATGTTGAGAGAGTGTAAGTTTTAACTTAAAGGAAACCTAAACTAACTTTATTTATACTGGATAACTCTATCAGTTCTAAACTGTTCTTCCTAGAGGTCCAGTAAGGATCATCTCTTATTGATCCAGTGTTACTACAGGAGGAAACCTAAACTAAACTAACTTTATTTATACTGGATAGTTCTATCAGTTCTAAACTGTTCTTCCTAGAGGTCCAGTAAGGATCATCTCTTATTGATCCAGTGTTACTACAGGAGGAAACCTAAACTAAACTAACTTTATTTATACTGGATAGCTCTATTAGTTCTAAACTGTTCTTCCTAGAGGTCCAGTAAGGATAATCTCTTATTGATCCAGTGTTACTACAGGAGGAAACCTAAACTAACTTTACTTATACTGAATAACTCTATCAGTTCTAGGGTCAATATCTTATTGATTATAACTTTGTTATTTAGTCTTTACGAGCAAGTGAATAAACTTCAAGAGTATTTAAACTGGACCCAAAAGTCCGAAGCGTTGTCTGGATGGTTGGAAGATACTGAGCGAAGTTTGGATTCTTGTGCAGTACCAAGCAGTGATCCTGTGGAAAGAGGAAAACAAACTCTCTTCCTTGAGGTTCTGAATTTCCGCAAATCTTTACCTCCGAGTTAAACATTTAGTTTAACCTAATGACGCTTGAATACCTGAGGTTTTATTCACATATTTTTTCTTTTCCATCCGCAGAAATTCTTGAAAGAACGCGGGCAAAATCAAGAAAGTGTGGACGATGTTCTCAGTCATGGAAATTTGGTCGTGAAGAAAAACTTGGTTCCCGACCAGCATCTTAGCAAGATTAAAGCAGACCTTAACCATTACCGCGATCAATGGGACAAACTTTTGAAGAAAGCAGAGAACGTTCAAGAAAGGTTAGGAGATTGACTAACTTTATTTATACTGGATAGCTCTATGAGTTCTAAACTGTTTTTCCTAGAGGTCCAGTAAAGATCATCTCTTATTGATCCAGTGTTACTACAGGAGGAAACCTAAACTAAACTAACTTTATTTATACTGGATGCTCTATCAGTTCTAAACTGTTCTTCCTAGAGGTCCAGTAAGGGTCATCTCTTATTGATCCAGTGTTACTACAGGAGGAAACCTAAACTAAACTAACTTTATTTATACTGGATAGCTCTATCAGTTCTAAACTGTCCTTCCTAGAGGTCCAGTAAGGATTATCTCTTATTGATCCAGTCTTACTGATCTAGTTATTTGCCACTTTTTCAGATTTGCAACTGGTAAGAAAGATCTTAAACAGCTGGAAGACAACAGAGTTGAATACGATGTGATAACAACGTGGATTATCAGCAATGAAAAACGTTTACAAGAGCTGAAAGATGACACCAGCGGTGATGAGGAAGCATTAAAGAGAAGACGCGTTCTCATTTTGGTAACTATCAAATACATCTGATCTTCCAAGCCATATTAAACTTCTTTTTCATTTGATTAAAACTGCGTGTAGTTCATGGAACTTCATTAAAAACTTCTCCTACCTTTAATTCTTGTTTTTCTTTCAACTTCACGCCTGAGAATCCCTCTCGTCTTTGTCTAGTTGTAGGATTTTATTACTTATTTCCATCTCTTTTTTAACAGGAAATCATTGAAGAGATTACCATCTACAGGGTCCGTCTTCGCCGATTGATTGGAGAGAATGACAAGCTTGCAAACAAAGACACTCTTCCTCCTGATGAAAGGGATAAATTTGTCAATGATACGAAAGAATTGGAAAAAAGATTAGATGCCCTTGATGATGGTGCAAAGAAAGAAGAATCGAGGTACATTTGCATTTAGTTTTTCTAGAAAGAACAGTTTAGAACTGATAGAGCTATCCAGTATAAATAAAGTTTGTTTAGTTTAGGTTTCCTCCTGTAGTAACACTGGATCAATAAGAGATGATCCTTACTGGACCTCTAGGAAGAACAATTTAGAACTGATTGAGCTATCCAGTATAAATAAAGTTAGTTTAGTTTAGGTTTCCTCCTGTAGTAACACTGGATCAATAAGAGATGATCCTTACTGGACCTCTAGGAAGAACAGTTTAGAACTGATTGAGCTATCAAGTATAAATAAAGTTACCGAGTAGTTAAATCGATATTTCTGTCAATTTTTTTCAGTATCAATGATCAAATAGATACAAATAATACTGCGAGGCTGGACGAGTGGCAAACGAAAGCAGATGATCTCGACAAATGGTTTATTACAACAAAAACAGAAATTAAATCATTCAATGTCCCGCCTTTGGATGAAGACGATAAAGCGAGACAGGATAAGTATTTGGAGGTTTGTGAAGCTCTCATCTGTTACATGAAGGCGCTTTAGTGAAATCTTTCGCTGAAAATTATAACTAAATATGTATCTTTGCTTCTAGGACTTTGCGAAGCAGAAGCCTGCATGTGATAAACGCGTGAACGAGGTTGTTTCTAGCGGTCGTTCTCTGGTGAATGAAGGCGTTATTCCTTCTGAGAAACGCGAACAGTTTGAAGTTGACCTCGAGAGTATCTCTGGAACGTGGGACAGCGTTATAGAAATGGCTGACGACTCGTCAGAGAAGTAAGTTGATAAAATATTCAAAACAAGGTTGCCTATTTCAGGATTTTGTCCAGGATTGCATTGGGATTAATAGGAATTCAGCTTTGGAATGTGAAACTGTGAATTTATTTAGTTGAAACAAAGCAGATTAGGCAATATTGTCTGTGGAAATATTAAACAATTCAGGTTTTTTTTGAGGGTGGGTTGAGATTAATGGAAAGTCTTTCTTTTCGAGTTTTGAAGTGAAAATTTGTTTCTTGTTTAGTTTGGAGAAGGCTGAGAAAGCGTCGGACGATTACGACGTGTGGCGTAAGGATGCAACTCAAGCGAAAGAAATTGTGGAAAATAACAAGAAAGATGTTGAAGAAGCTTCCAAACCAACCAGTGATCCCGAGGAACGAAAGAGTCAAATCACTACCATAACTGTGAGTTGCATTTGCTAGATTATTGAGGTTGGATGCTTGTTTCTTTCTGTAGTAACACTGGATCATTAAGAGATGATCCTTACTGGACCTCTAGGAAGAACAGTTTAGAACTGATAGAACTATCCAGTATAAATAAAGTTAGTTTAGTTTAGGTTTCCTCTTGTAGTAACACTGGATCAATAAGAGATGATCCTTACGGGACCTCTAGGAAGAACAGTTTAGAACTGATAGAACTATCCAGTATAAATAAAGTTAGTTTAGTTTAGGTTTCCTCCTGTAGTAACACTGGATCAATTTGAGATGATCCTTACTGGACCTCTAGGAAGAACAGTTTAGAACTTATAGAGTTATCCAGCATAAATAAAGTTAGTTTAGTTTAGGTTTCCTCCTGTAGTAACACTGGATCAATAAGAGATGATCCTTACTGGACCTCTAGGAAGAACAGTTTAGAACTGATAGAACTATCCAGTATAAATAAAGTTAGTTTAGTTTAGTTAGTTTAATTGCTAGATTATAGAGTTTGCATGCGTAGGAATTATATCACAAATGGAAGATGTAAAATACAATTTCTCTGGGATTTCTAGAAAATCATGGCAGACAAACCTGGGGAAAAAGAGCGACTTTATCAGATTATTTACCGCGGGAAAGATTTGGAAGATAGCGAATATCTTACACCAGAACAAAAAGAACACATCAGCCGCGAGACGAAAGATATTGAAAACAATTGGAATGATTTCTCAAACCAACTTGACGATGCTAAAAAGAGGTATTAATGATTTCGTGGCTACCTTTGTATCATTGTTTTGTGATGTCTCTAAGCGGGGATTATTTCTTTGATATTCAGTGCGGAGTCTGGTGAAAAGGACTTGCAAGATTTGGCCCAATATCGTGTAGACTATGACGTCATCATCACGTGGATTATCACGAATGAGAAGCGACTTCGTGATGTTAAGGATGAAGACAGCAACGACAAAGAAAGTATTCAGAAACAACAAGTCATTCTTAAGGTATGTACTACTACTAAACTAACTTTATTTATACTGGATAGCTGTATCAGTTCTAAACTGTTCTTCCTAAAGGTCCAGTAAGGATCATCTCTTATTGTTCCAGTGTTACTACAGGAGGAAACCTAAACTAAACTAACTTTATTTATACTGGATAGCTCTATCAGTTTTAAACTGTTCTTCCTAGAGGTCCAGTAAGGATCTCATCTCTTATTGTTCCAGTGTTACTACAGGAGGAAACCTAAACTAAACATGCCCGCTCAAATAAGTTTAATTGTTCGCTGTTTTAATTCAGAGCATCATTGGCGACTTCCCTGAATACAAAGTCAAACTCAACGAAGTAATTTCAAAAGGACGCCATCTTTCTAATACGCCATCGCTTCCAAATGGCGATAGAGAAGAAATAGATAAACAGTCAAATGAATTGGAAAATAAGTTTAGCACCTTGGAAAACGACGTTAATGATGAAGACCAGAGGTAATAGATTAAATCTCAACTTCTTTCATACTTTGAAATGTTTTTCGAAGCCCTATTCAGTTCATCATGTTAAATAACATTTGATTTCTCCTTTAGACTTGAGAAGAATTTGGAGAACATAGACAAATATGAAGTATGGCAACAGAGAGCCGACGATGTCAAAAAAAAACTCGACGAGACGAAAGATGAATTGGATAAATTCGACACACCAACCAGCGACGTCAGCGAACGAGAAAAACAAAAACGATTCCTGAATGTGAGAGATCTTTCTTTTGCTATATTGTTGATAATTATCGTTTTGAGCGAAGCCTTTTCGTTGGAAGAGGCCGGGATTTGATCGAAGTTCATTTTTATTTTATCAGGACTTTAATAAAAGAAAGGGCGCTCAAGAGAAGTTGATTAATGATGTTGTTAGTGATGGTAGGAAACTTGTGGATGAAAACATCGCTCCGAGCGATAAACGAGAAAAGATTGAACTGGATCTTCAATCGTTGCCTGAAACTTGGGAGGGAATTGTCGGCAAGGCTGATGAGAATAAGAAAACGTATGTTGTTTATAATAAAGGGATAATGTTAGTTTAGTTCAGGTTTCCTCCTGTAGTAAAACTGGATCAATAAGAGATGATCCTTACTGGAGCTCTAGGAAGAACAGTTTAGAACTGATAGAGCTATCCAGTATAAATAAAGTTAGTTTAGTTTAGGTTTCCTCCTGTAGTAACACTGGATCAATAAGAGATGATCCTTACTGGATCTCTAGGAAGAACAGTTTAGAACTGATAGAGCTATCCAGTATAAATAAAGTTAGTTTAGGTTTCCTCTTGTAGTAACACTGGATCAATAAGAGATGATCCTTACTGGATCTCTAGGAAGAACAGTTTAGAACTGATAGAGGTATGGAATGAAACCTTTATTCAAGCGCATTGATGTTCGCTTTCTTTTCAGTGTTGACTCTAGTCTTCAAGATGCTGTACAGCTAAGCAAATGGCAGAATGACTACAATGTTGTTTTGCTTTGGATTGAGAAAGCTGAAGACAAGCAAAATCAACGGGAAGAAGACAGCGATGATCTTGACAAGCTAAAGAAACAGAGAAAGAAACTAGAAGTGAGTGATTCACCTGTACAAAAAAACTCGGCCTTTTTAGTTGTAATATGATGATTCTTTGTTCTCACGACAAACAGTGTGCAAACGAACTGTGTTTTGTTTAGGCTGATGTGAAAGATATTGCGAAATACGAGGCCAAGATTGCTCCATTATTGGCAAGAGGAGAGACGATATCACAAAGCAACTTCATAACTCCTGATGATAAGTCGAAAGCAGATAATGACACGAAGACTTTGAAAGAAAGATTTGATAAATTGAAGGGTGAAGAAACTGATCGTAAACAAAAGTAAGTTGCTTTGTTTCGCTCGATTTCATCTCATTTCTGTTCAATTGAATTCAAAACAACTTCGATTCTATTTCAATAATTTAAACTGTGGTCCTTAATTCCTCTTTAAATAGTTCCGTTTCTGGTTATTTCATTTTGTGTATGGTCTAATCTTTTGTTTTACTTTCTTCATTCCGTTCCATTCAGTTAAAACGCTTTTAAAATCAATCTCTTGTTAATACAACAGGCTTGATGATAAAATTCAATGGTTGACGGAATACAGGCAATACAGAACAGACTACGATGGTCTGAACTCGATGCTTGACGATTGTCAACACAAGTTAGAATCGTATGAGAAACCTACCAGCAACAAAACTGAGAGAGACAGACAAGCCGCGTTTCTGAATGTAAGTTTTTGTTGGATTCGCAAAGGATTCAATTTAGTGGGCAATAGATAAGTGAACTACATTGTCCATGTGATTTCCTTTCTAGAAATTCAACAAAGACCAACCTGCAAACGATAAACGCGTTGAAACAGTTGTACAGTTTGGTAGCAAGTTGGCCGATGCTCCAGGGGTACCTGAGGATAAGGGGGATGATATCAAAGAAGAGACGAAGACTATAGGGGATACATGGAGGATAATTGTGCTAAAAGTTGAAGAGCTGCAAAAAATGTAAGTTTGATTTTTTTACAGAAGAGACGTTTTAAATCTGTCAGTAATATAAGGTAACCCTTTCAACCTTAGATAAACCCTTTCATGCGATATGGATTGCATTATATTTTGAAAAATTCCATCCTAGAAAGAATTGGTCCAAGTTTTAGTTCGAGTTCTTGTATTTAAGATTTTAGACAAGGGGCGAAGATGGACAGTGGCTCTGACATAACAATAGTATGATAGTTGTTTTAACTTGTATTTACAGTGTTCGTTCTGGTATTCAAAATATCACGGAGTTAAGTGATTGGAGGAAGGAATATACCACCGTTATTAAATGGATTGAGACGAACGAGAAGAAGCTTGCCGCGCAAGGGGAGCCTGGGGACCAGGCTAAAGATCTCGCTAATAAATGTACCACTCTTGATGTAAGTATATTATTTATACTGGATAGCTCTATCAGTTGTAAACTGTTCTTCCTAGAGGTCCAGTTATTGATCCAGTGTTACTAAGGAGGAAACCTAAATTAAACTTACTTTATTTATACTGGATAGCTCTATCAGTTCTAAACTGTTCTTCCTAGAGGTCCAGTAAGGATCATCTCTTATTGATCCAGTGTTATTACAGGAGGAAACCTAAACTAAACTAACTTTATTTATACTGGATAGCTCTATCAGTTCTAAACTGTTCTTCCTAAAGGTCCAGTAAGGATCATCTCTTATTGATCCAGTGTTACTACAGGAGGAAACCTAAACTAAACTAACTTTATTATCGCAGGAAATGGTGAACGTATTATCCACATACGAGACAAGAATCACTATACTACTTCAAAAAGGCGACCAATTGGCCAATGAACCGTCAATAGATGAAAGCGACCGAAAAAAGACCGAAGATGATACGAAGGCTTTACGAGAACGATGGGATAAACTGAAGCAAGATGAAGAAGATAAAAAGAACAGGTGAGACGTTTTACCAGTTCTAAACTGCTCTTCCTAGAGGTCCAGTAAGGATCATCTCTTATTGATCCAGTGTTACTACAGGAGGAAACCTAAACTAAACTAACTTTATTTATATTGGATAGCTCTATCAGTTCTAAACTGTTCTTCCTAGAGGTCCAGTAAGGATCATCTCTTATTGATCCAGTGTTACTACAGGAGGAAACCTAAACTAAACTAACTTTATTTATACTGGATAGCTCTATCAGTTCTAAACTGTTCTTCCTAGAGACCAAGTAAGGATCATCTTTTATTGATCCAGTGTTACTACAGGAGGAAACCTAAACTAAACTAACTTTATTGATACATGGATAGCTCTATCAATCCTGTATTGTCCTTTCTTATGTGATAATAATCTGCTCTCTCATAGGTTTGATGAACAAAAAAGTTTTGTTGAAGATTACCAGGAATGGAAAGATGATGTGGACGACTTGAAGCCTTGGATGGAAAACACGAAGAAAGAAATTGATGCGTGTGAATTACCAACAAGTGACAACAGCGTCAGAGAAAAACAAGCGAACTTCGTGAAGGTAGGCTCGCAAAATATCTTCTATATTGAAATCAAAACATTTCCTTTTAACACTTTCTCTTTGTTCAAGGTATTTCTGGAAGATAAGGAAAAGAATCAAGCTCGTGTTGACAAAGTTGTTGACGGAGGTAATCTTCTGTTGAAAGAGAATCCTGTCGCTCAGAAAGACAAGAAAGAAATTCAAGACAAAATCGAGAACACACAGAATTCTTGGAGTACAATTGTGCAAAGATTTGACGTTGTCCAACCAATGTAAGTTAATTTTGAAATCAGTTTATATGTTTGTTGTCTTCTACAGAAGTTCTACAACAACTATACTGGGGTCGTATCAAGCCCGTTTAGCTTAAACGGTGAATAAGTTCAAAATAGAAAGCAAGTCTGTCGTTTTATTCAACAAGCAAACTAAATGTTTTTAACTTTAATACAAAGATGCTATTTACGACTACATATTCAGTGCATAATATTCAAGTTGACTCATTCAAGAGAGATGTAAGAGTGTTATTTAATTTCGACTTATTCACCGTTTAAGCTAAACTGGCTTGATACAACCGGCCTCTGTTTTTTAAGTAGATATTTTCCGAGTTTAAACTGCTATATTTTGCGTATTCAATCCTGACCGATTTACCCGAAGAACCACAATATTTCTTGATATTTTTGTTGAAAACATGCTGTGATTCACAGTGGATTGTTCGCCTATGATTTCAGTGTGATATCTGGAACTCAAGACATTGTCAAGCTTGACGAATGGCGGAACGATTGTAACGAAATGAACAAATCTATCGACAATGCAAGACAGCAGGTTCGCAACTTGAAGAAGCCTTCCAAAGATCAGGCAAGGATGAAAAAGCAGAAAGACGACTTTGAAGTAAGTTCCGTCCATTTTATAAACAACAGCTCCCTAAAAGCTATTGAGGTAATGACTGTTAAGAGTTAAGAAAATGATAACGTAATAATAATAATTCTTGAATGGAAGTTGGTGGTAATATTCTTGCAATTTTGTATGGTGATATCCAAATACAGGTAACTTGATTAGCTTGCAGTATTTTATACAAGTATTTAATAGTGCAAGGTTAACGGACCGAAAGCTTTGCAGTATCAAATACTTACGTGGTTGTACCTACAAGGACGTTTGTGTAAGTTGAAAGAGCTCAATCGACGTAAATTTGAATTTAATTTTAGGTTATTTCCGCTGAAATGGATGACAATCCAGACAAGATTGATAACCTTTCTGAACGAGCTGAATACCTCGTAACAGTGTCCACTATTTCTCCCAAAGATAAGGATAAGGTGTCCAAAGATATGAACAATTTAAAGAATACCTGGAATAATTATAAAAACGAAGAAAAAACAGCTAAAGAAAGGTATACAGAAGCATTTTAACGCACTAAAACTGCCCTTGAAACGGTTTTTCCCCGAAGATCAAATGCCTTGAAGATTTGAGGGATGAAATACAGAGATATTACACCGCTTTTCAGCAAAGGTTCTTTGTTTGTATTTGAGAAAAACGGAATGGCAAAGTTATGAAATATATTTAATTTAACTACTTCTAGTTTCGATGCTCAGCCTCAACTTGTAGTTGTAACCGAAGTCGTAGTGGTTGAAAAGAAAGAAGACGATTTGGTTGTGGAAGAAACTTTTGAGGTTTTTCAAACTTAATGTTTAAAAACTCCTAAATCGATTTAACAAAGTTTGAAGTGATAAGCCAGTGCTTATATGCTTTCTCCTCGCTGGATATTGGAAGTTACTGAAGAGGATTTAGTCAGGATAGGATTGTCGAGTTTGTTGTTGTTAGCCAAGTCTGTGCAAAAGCTCAGGATGTGGTTTTCTGTTTAGGATATTGATGAGTTGTTTGCACAAGAGCCCAAAGCGCCAGAACCACCAGCAACTGTCGATTACGGAGAGTGGAAGGACAGCGTTGAAGAACTGGAAGGAATCCTTGAACAAGAAGATGGAAAGTTTGATCCAAAGGCGCCTATCGAGAAAGAATATTCAAACTTGGAGAAGCTTGCACAAGAAACAAAGGTAACCATTATATAAATATATTCAATGTCAATGATTCTTCCACTGATAAATATTCTTCCACTGATAAATAAAATCATCTGACATTAGACAGAGTAAAATACTAAAGTAGGTCACATCTGGGTGCATTGCAAGCTAATGGGTTAACAAGAGACACTGACAGATAGTTTTGTTAACTTATTAACTGACAGTACTCTTCCACTGATGAGTAAAATCATCTGACATTAGACAGAGTAAAATACCAAAGTAGGTCACATCTGGGTGCATTGCAAGTTAATGTATAAATGATTTATCTTAATATATCTTCGTATATTAAGGACTCTGGTGCGACAGTTGATGACCAATGTAAGCCGAAGCTAGCCACCATTTTGTCAGATGGAAATGCGCTTGTAAACAACAAAGAACTTCAACCAGAGGACGAAACATTCGTCACAGAAAAGATGGTATCTTTGAAAGACAGGACTCAGCGTATTGATATGGCTGTGAGAATAACCAGAATGAAGTGAGTTCCTCAATTAATTCACAGCTCTTTTAACCACAAATTTCAGATCTATAATTTTCTATAAATATCCACTTATCATCTTCAAGGCCTGGCCAGATGTTTTACAAATTGTTTAATCGTGTTTTTCTAGAGTTCGAGATGCAGCGCTTGAGTACTTTAACGAAACGCTGAACAAATGTTCTGTCGATGTGAATAAAATGCAGGAAACAGGAAAGTCCTTGAGACCTCCTTCAGATAACCTACCTGATCTTCGAGTACAGATTGCTTCGATGAAGGTAACCTTCCTCGTTTGTTTATAGCGAGTGATAGCTTAAAGAATTTCCGTTTCAAACAATCATAAGCTCGTTTTCCACTAGGGGCTGGTTGTGTCAAGTCCGTTTAGCTTAAACGGTGGATAAGTCAAAATTAAATAACACTCTCTCGCAATTTCCACCGCTCTTCACCGCAATGTCCACCGCTCTTCACCGCAATGTCCACCGCTCTTCACCGCAATTTCCACCGCTCTTCACCGCAATGTCCACCGCTCTTCACCGCAATTTCCACCGCTCTTCACCGCAATGTCCACCGCTCTTCACCGCAATTTCCACCGCTCTTCACCGCAATGTCCACCGCTCTTCACCGCAATGTCCACCGCTCTTCACCGCAATGTCCACCGCTCTTTACCGCAATTTCCACCGCAATGTCCACCGCTCTTCACCGCAATGTCCACGGCTCTTCACCGCAATTTCCACGGCTCTTCACCGCAATTTCCACCGCTCTTCACCGCAATTTCCACTGCTCTTCACCGCAATGTCCACCGCTCTTCACCGCAATTTCCACCGCAATGTCCACCGCTCTTCACCGCAATGTCCACGGCTCTTCACCGCAATTTCCACGGCTCTTCACCGCAATTTCCACCGCTCTTCACCGCAATTTCCACCGCTCTTTACCGCAATGTCCACCGCTCTTCACCGCAATGTCCACTGCTCTTCACCGCAATGTCCACCGCTCTTCACCGCAATTTCCACCGCAATGTCCACCGCTCTTCACCGCAATGTCCACGGCTCTTCACCGCAATTTCCACGCTCTTCACCGCAATTTCCACCGCTCTTCACCGCAATTTCCACCGCTCTTCACCGCAATTTCCACCGCTCTTCACCGCAATTTCCACCGCTCTTCACCGCAATTTCCACCGCTCTTCACCGCAATTTCCACCGCAATGTCCACCGCTCTTCACCGCAATGTCCACCGCAATTTCCACCGCTCTTCACCGCAATTTCCACCGCTCTTCACCGCAATGTCCACCGCTCTTCACCGCAATGTCTACCGCTCTTCACCGCAATTTCCACCGCTCTTCAGACTTGTTTATCACTTTTCTCAAAATGGCCGAAAAGTGACTTAGGCAATTATGTTAGTAAGCTGTCGATTTGCTTTCTGTTAACTCTGGTATTCGTCTCTTTTAAAAGTCTTTAGAGAAACGGCTTTCATCTGATGGCGAGAAAGTTCAGGATACCGAGGAAAAAGTAAATAACATGGAAGATGCAGGCGTTTTGCCACGGGATGGCTTCGCTGGGACTTTAAATGACAGATGTAACGAAGTAAAGAAGGAACAAAAGAATGTCTTTGTTGTTATCGATGAAGCTAAACCAAAGTATGCTCTATCAGTTCAACACTGTTCTTCCTAGAGGTCTCGTAAGGATCATCTCTTATTCATCCAGTGTTACTACAGGAGGAAACCTAAACTAAACTAACTTTATTTATACTGGATTGTTCTATCAGTTCTAAACTGTTCTTCCTAGAGGTCCAGTAAGGATCATCTCTTATTGATCCAGTGTTACTACAGGAGGAAACCTAAACTAAACTAACTTTATTTATACTGGATAACTCTATCAGTTCTAAACTGTTCTTCCTAGAGGTCCAGTAAGGATCATCTCTTATTGATCCAGTGTTACTACAGGAGGAAACCTAAACTAAACTAACCAAAATCACACTTTTTCTAGATTGCATCGTGCTTTACTAAACCAGTTAAATCGAACACAAAAATCTGTCAACAGTTGGTTGAAATCTTGCGAAAAGAAAGAGAGAAATATCGACGTGACAAACCTGAAAGATCTTAACAAAGCACATCAAGAATGCTTGAAACTAAAGGTAATTTACATGCAACACACAGACTATTGTTTTCCAAAAAAATCGCCGTACAACTGACTTTATTTTGTAGCAAGTTAAAGCCGAATTTGACAAAGGAGAGCCTCTGTATATCACCTTAAATGAAGTCCATAAAGAAGCTGTCGATGATGAAATTTTGGTTGAAAAGAAAGCCGTTGATTTTGGCAAACAAATGGAAACATTAGGAACACGACATGATGACCTTAAACAACGCTTACAAGATAAAGACAACGAGTAAGATTACCCTGAGTGTTTTTACTTGGAAAGACCGAATCTAAAATTATCCAATATGTCTTTTAGACTTCTTACTTATGTGAGACAGACCACAGAAGGTGTGTTAAAGTCTTCTGATGAGAAACTTGATGAGCAAAAAACGTGGCTTGAACCAGAAGAACCTGCTGATAACTTCACAGACGCCAAAGAACAGCAAGATACCATGAAGGTGAGCTTGGAGATGATCCTTACTGGAGCTCTAGGAAGAACAGTTTAGAACTGATAGAACTATCCAGTACAAATAAAGTTAGTTTAGTTTAGGTTTCCTCCTGTGGTAACACTGGATCAATAAAAGATGATCCTTACTGGACCTCTAGGAAGAACAGTTTAGAACTGATAGAACTATTTGTGAAGCTGTATTCATTCGGATTTCATTTAAGGAACGTGAATCCTTAATAAAACAACGAACAAAAGACATCATTATTCAACTTGGACCAATTGAAAAGATTTCCACAGGTGAAATATTGCCTCTTCCCGAATCAACTGCTCTTCAACGCCGCGTTGGCGACATCAAGACAAGATTCAACGCAGATATACCAACCGCTAGAGAAAAATCACAAAAGTGAGTGTTAGATAAATGGGGTTGAATTTAATTTTCCTGTGTTTTTAAAAGTACATTTTGGGATTTTTTTAGGCTCAGAGAAGGTTACGGCGACCTTCTGAAAAAGGAAGTAGAGAAAAGGAAATTATGGCTAGATGAAAATGAAGGAGTTGAACTTAAACCTGAAACAGACTTCAAAGATTTCAGCGAATTCAAGATAAAATATGATCAAAACAAGGTGCTTAAGAAAGTTAATTTAGCGAAGTTTTTTTGAGATATTGAATGCATCTCTTGAAGATATGAAGAAAAACATTGTTTATCCTTATTTTATTAGGATTTTGTGAAAGAACTGGATGATAACAACATCAAAGTTTTGATTGAAGAGGCAGACAAGATCGATGGGATTGAACCGGAAGTGAAGATTGAACTCGTGCAGTTGGACGAGCGTTGGGAAACGATTCACGACGATGCGAAGGACAAGACCGAGAACTACGAAGATCTCATGACAAAGTGGACTGTCTTCCGTGAGCAGCAACTGACCTTGTTGAACTGGATTGACAAGAAAGATGCCGAAGCCGCTGAAGAAAAGGATCAAGTCAACCTTGCTGATGAAGACGAAGTCGCTGAACATGTCAAGAAACTAAAGGTAAATAAAGAGTTTTTCCCGCTCTATTTGTGAATGTTTCCATTCAGATATTTTTGAAGCTTTATCGGCTGTTTATGCCCCTAAGAGCCTGCTCCGAGTTCTCAAAACTTGGGTAAGCATTCTTGTACAAAATCTTCGTCAAAGTTTTCAAACGTTTTTTGATGTTCAGGATGCCAAGGAAGAAGCCGAAGTGCAAGGAGAGTCGCAAGAGAAGAAATTAAAAGAAGCCAGTGAAGATTTAATCCGTCATCTTGGCGAAGACTCCCCAGCCGCTGATGAGGTCAAAAAACAAACGGAAGAAGTTGATTCTGTGAGACAGAAGTTCATCAACGATATGGGTGATCGCATTGAAAAGGTAAAGGTTTTGATACTCAACCCTTGTTGATCCAGTGTTACTGCAGGAGGAAACCTAAACTAAACTAACTTTATATATACTGGATAACTCTATCAGTTCTAAACTGTTCTTCCCAGAGGTCCAGTAAGGACTGCCCTCGCTAGATATTGATCAAGATCAACTCTTCTTCTCATTTCAACTCTTCTTCTAATTCTTTTTCTCATTTAGATTGAAAGCAGTGAAGAGAAAACTCGAGACTTGTACAATGACATTGACGATGTAACAAACTGGTTGGACACCACAGAAAACCTGATTGACAAGTATGAAAACCATGAAAAAGAAACCGCTGATGATGGTAGTCCACGTGAACAGCACGTGCCACAGGATGGTGAAGTTGAAGAAGAAATGGTACACGTTGTGGAAGACTTACTGGTACGTCTGAATCGATGGACTTCAATTTTACCCAATATTTTGTTACCTGATATAAATAGTTCTGTTCTGCCATAAAAGTTCTCAATACTTTGTATTGTATTCAATAGCAATCCATATCTTAAAAATGCATGCATTCTAACACTTTTGTTGCCAAATTATTGTTACGTTTATCTTATTTTGTGAAATGCTTCACATTCGCCGTTTTTTTAAGATCAAACGCAAAGAAATCCCAGAGCTCGAAGCACGTCTGGATAACGCGGAGTCATCGGCAGAACACTTGGATGACCAGTTGCTGGATGAATTAACCGTTGAAAATACTCAGGTCAAAGTGAAAGACATGAAAGTTCGCTGGGGTGTTCTAACACAAAGGCTGGATGAATTCTGCAACCGTGATATACCCGTAAGTGCTATTCTAGACGACCTGCAGTATTTTTAAGGCTTCGAGAAAATGCGAATTCTTTTATTCAAAAGCTTAAGGTTTTTGAGTTGAAGATCTTCTTCGCTTCCGGGGCCAGTTGTACAAAAGCTGTACAGCGCTATCCACCGAATCGTGTTTTTCAATTTGCTCTAAAACTGTCGCATCCAAATCTGGAATTTGATTGTTTTTCACAGATGTTTACAACGATTTAAAACATTCATATCCCGTATTAGCGCTATCCAGCTTTTGAACAACCGTCTTCAGGCATTTAATAGCAATATTAGCAGCTTTATTGTCCTAACGTTTGAAATAAACTCGCTGAAAAGCCTTAAAAATTCCAGATCCTTGGCTGTAAATATCTTTCAAGGGCTTACAAGCACGTACATTTCAACTGTCACGATATTTACGAATTCTAAGAGTAATACTTTTACTTTTAATAATGATTGTAGATGCGTTAATGTTTCGCTGTTTTCTTTTGCAGGAAATTGAGATAGCTCAGATCAAAGCCGAACATCTTGAGGAAGATTCATTGGATGAAACTGATATGAGATCAGTTGTGCCACTGGATGTATGGCGAGAAAAAGTTAGAAAGGTGAATTTGTTGCTGAAATATGTTGAACGGTTGGTTGGTGTCAATGCTGATGGGAAAGAAGATTATCCGAGTATACGAATCTTAGCATCCAACACGAAGGTAAATTCAGCCTAATTCTCTTACTAGTTGTCTTTGGGAAACAGTTTAGAACTGATAGAGCTATCCAGTATAAATAAAGTTAGTTTAGTTTAGGTTTCCTCCTGTAGTAACACTGGATCAATAAGAGATGATCCTTACTGGACCTCTAGCAAGAACAGTTTAGAACTGATAGAGCTATCCAGTATAAATAAAGTTAGTTTAGTTTAGGTTTCCTCCTGTAGTAACATTGGATCAATAAGAGATGATCCTTACTTAGATAATCTTGGCCTGAACTAGAATATTTCGTCTCTAGGAAGCAACAAAGACAATCACCTTGTACTGCAAGCCAAGAGTTCAAGTCATCAAAACACAGGGAATAAATATTATAAGCGAAGATCCTCATGACATTGACAGAGGGGAAGAAATAACGGACACAATCGATTCACTTAGAAAAAGAGTTGAAACCTCAGAGAATAATGCAGGCATACTTAAAATGAAGTATGCAAAATGTTTTTACAAAATTGATCTCGTTACGTCCATTTGCGATCCATTTTGATTCATTTAACCGAGCTTGCCATTCCATTTTGACTTTTTTTCCATCTTTCTTAAACAGGGTACGAGATCTGGCTTTAGATTACTTCAACAATGGTCTGAATCATTGTGAGATTGCTCTTGAAAGCGAGGAAGAAAACGTCGAAAAATTACTTGCAACAAAACCTGATATTGAAACCACACAAGAGCAGATGGTGCTTTTGAAAGAAGGCCGCAAAGAATTTGACAAAAACAAAGAAGATTATGAAAACGTTGTTGACGAATTGAAAGATAAAAAGATTGTGGAATTGTTGACGAAAGATGGATTTCAAGGAACTCTAGCAGATAAAAGTCAAAACATTAAAAAACGGCGAGATGCTGTGGAGAAAAAGTTATCAGAATCCAAAACACGGTAGGCGAGATAGTGTGTTCAATATAATTTGAATGAAATTTTCATTGCTATTTCTTTATCTGCTGATTTCTCGGTTTTCAAGGCAGAATTGAAAGCCTATATTCTCTGAATCATTTGTTGAAGATCTTTCTTGTCCAACAGCGTTCTCTTTTAATATTTTCGGGTTCGTATCTTACTCTAGAATACATCGTAATTTGATATCACATTTGTCCGAGATGAAGAAGGTTGTTGGAAAATGGCTGGCGTCTTGCGAAAAGAAAGAAAAATCTATAAACGTCGAACCATCTCCCACTCACGACCCAGTTGCCGAATACAAAAAATTAATGGTAAGCGTTCTCAAATCAATATTTTGATGTATTCTCAAGCGAAATCCAAGGAAATTTGAACACAAATGAACAGAATATACACTGATTTTTAAGGTCTTGTATTAAGTTTCATATTATGTTTTGGTCTAGTTTACGATTTGTTTTGTTTAAAGGTTTTACTTGAAGAATTGAACGAAGGAGAGTCCAAGTATGATAGCGTTCTTCAGTTGAACAAACAGTTGATATCAGACAACGTTCTTGAAGGAAGGAAAGCTTCTAGCTCCGAGAAAGATCTTCAGTCATTCGCTACTCGTTTTGCTGTGGTGGGCAAACGTGTTCATGATAAGAACGGTGCGCTTTACATAATTCTTCTCAACCTGGCTCAAACCACGATGGATGAAGTTGGTGATAATATCGCAGAGATGGATGAGAAAGTTGAGCAAACTAACATGGCTGAGAGATTCCCGCAAATCAAACAAGATTTCCAGAACGCAAAGGTATTATGATGTGTTTACTGTGTATAATACTTTGAAGAGATGATCCAGTGTTACTACAGGAGGAAACCTAAACTAAACTAACTTCATTTATACTGGATAACTCTATCAGTTCTAAACTGTTCTTCCTAGAGGTCCAGTAAGAATAATCTCTTATTGATCCAGTGTTACTACAGGAGGAAACCTAAACTAAACCAACTTTATTTACACTGGATATCTCTATCAGTTCTAAACTGTTCTTCCTAGAGGTCCAGTAAGGATCATCTCTTATTGATCTAGTGTTACTACAGGAGCAAACCCAAACTAAACTAACTTCACCCAAACTGGATAGCTCTATCAGTTCTAAACTGTTCTTCCTAGAGGTCCAGTAAGGATCATCTCGTATTGATTCAGTGTTACTACAGGAGGAAACCTAAACTAAACTAACTTTATTTATACTGGATAGCTCTATCAGTTCTAAACTGTTCGTATTTTCATAGAATGTCAAAGATGAAGTTGATGATTTCTGCGAGAAATCAAAGGAAACATTAAAGGATGTTCACGTAATCATAGCTCTAGATGCCTTCAACAATGAAGACAAGAAAAATCTGGATGAACGAAGAAACGAATTGAAAGACAAAAACTCGCAGTTATCAGAAAAATCTGACGAGAAATTTGACAAGTGAGTCTAATGCAATTCCATCTTATGACTTTGATAAGATTACCAGGTGTAATTTATGTGTTTTTCAACTAAAACTGTGTTAAACTTTACACGAATTGTAGTTTTGCGAAGGAGTATAATAAAATCATTGACAGTGAAGTAAGAAATCGTAAAATGTGGTTTGATTCCAACGAGTCCTGGATGGGCATTACTGACCACGATGTTGATAATCTGCCAGGCTTTGCTAAAAAACTTGATGATCAAAAGGTTAGTGCTTCAATCATTTAAATGATTGATTTCAAAGAAATCGTAGTCTAATTGCTTGAAACTCCTGAATTAAAAACAAGTTGATATTTTCCTAAATCAGTGTCTTCCGCCAAATTACTAAGACCGCTTAAACAGAGATATTGCTGGTCGCATAGTTTTCTTAACTGAGAGGTTTGGACTTTGATTTTGAAATGCTTTTTTTACTTTTAGATTTTCCAAGAGGAACTTGAGCACCGTAAGATGGAAGGATTGATTGACGAAGCAAGGGATAATGAAGATCTTTCTCCCGAAACAAGGTTCTTGATCTACGACCTTGACGACAAGTGGTCAACGATGAACAGTTGGTCTGAAGAACGATTAGACAGACTCACAACGATCAATGAAGATTGGGAGAAACTTCGCAAGCAAGAAAAAGATCTTTTAGACGAAATTGACGACAATGATGCCAGACTAAAGTTGCTTTCGTCTCCTGTGGATTTGTCAGACAAAGAAGACATTGAAAATCAAAGAAATGAACTCAAGGTTTGTTTATTTCTTTACAGCAATAGGAAACCTAAACTAACTTTATTTACACTTGATAGCTCTATCAGTTCTAAACTGTTCTTCCTAGAGGTCCAGTAAGGATCATCTCTTTTTGATCCAGTGTTACTACTGGAGGAAACCTAAACTAAACTAACTTTATTTATACTGGACAGCTCTATCAGTTCTAAACTGTTCTTCCTAGAGGTCCAGTAAGGATCACCCTTATTGATCCAGTGTTACTACAGAAAGAAACCAAAACTAAACTAACTTTATTTACACCGGATAGCTCTATCAGTTCTAAACTAACTGACATCTTGCTTCTAAAACCAGGATGCCCAGTCGAGTGTACAGGAGCTTCAATTAAATGTGGTGAAAATGAAGAAAGTCTCAAATGATTTGGTTAAACTTGTTGGTCCTGACAGCCCAGCTGGTAAACGAATGGAAAATGAATTCAATGATGTCAACAAATGCTACGATAACCTGTGCGTAGACACCTTGGAGAGAATGAAAAAGGTATGGAACTGATTTGGAAACAAAGTGCAAGATTTCATTCTAAGATCCTGCAACGTCAGAGTTATCGATAGTATTTACAAACTAACAAAAAAAAACAAATACAGGTCATACACACTGAGCTAACTTTCATTTCTTAAAACTTTATATAAAGATACATAAGTTTACTAATTCTTTTCTTTCTACAACAGCTTGATTCATCAGAGCGAAAGGCGAAGACTCGAAGACTTTACAATCACATGGATGATATCAACTTGACAATGGAGGAAAGCGAGAATATTTTGAGTTCTTTAAACGATGAAATAAAGAAGGCAGAAGAGAAGAAAGACATCGCAAAAGGGGAAGAAATAAACGAAAATGAAGAGGAAGAACTTCCTGAAAAAGAAAAGGAGAAACAGGCTTCTGATTTGAACAAGTTTGTTGATCAAATTTCGGTAAGTTATTTTATGCTTTTGTAATCCACTAAATTATGTCTAAGACTGCTACAGATATATACTTTCAATGGTCTGATTTTGGACATAGTTTTGAGATGACCAGGGGCCGGTTTTATCAAGCCCGTTAAACTTAAACCGCGGGTAAGTTCAAAATAGAAAGCAAGTCTAACGTTTTACTCAAGAAGCAAACTAAATGTATTTAACCTTAACACAAAGATACTGTTTACAACTACATATTCAGTGCATAATATTCAAGTTGACTCATTCAAGAGAGATGTAAGAGTGTTATTTAATTTTGAGTTATCCGCCGTTTAAGCTAAACGGGCTTGATACAACCGGCCCCTGAGAAATATTGTTGTAGTTTTCAACTGGGTGCTTTGAAGATATAATGGATGGCGTGTTCTGTTCGTTTGGGTGAGCGGCCAGAGGAAAAGGCACGCGTTCAACGTGCCAAGGAACTGGAGGCAAGTCTCAACGAAGATCTCGGCGAAGAAGCGAGGGATGTTCTTCAAAAACAAGTGGAAGAGTTCGACAATCGTTGGGATGATCTCAATACGAAAATGGACCAAGTTGTGAAAGAACGTGAATCTGTTAGTAACCCATAGGTTTTGCGAGAACTTCCTTGAATACCTTACTGGACCTCTAGGAAGAACAGTTTAGAACTGATAGAGCTATCCAGTATAAATAAAGTTAGTTTAGTTTAGGTTTCCTCCTGTAGTAACACTGGATCAATAAGAGATGGTCCTTACTGGACCTCTAGAAAGAACAGTTTAGAACTGATAGAGCTATCCAGTATAAATAAAGTTAGTTTAGTTTAGGTTTCTTCCTGTAGTAACACTGGATCAATAAGAGAGGATCCATACTGGATATTGGAACGAGCAAATGATTATTAAAAATCGTGTTTAAACAAACATTTGTTTTCTTCCAGGAGGAGCCCGCGGTAATCAAAGCAATCCAAGTTGAAGAAGTTGAATCGTCTCTTCCTGAAGATCTAACTGTGGACTATGGTTCATGGAAGGGAGATGCAGCTGAAATTGACGAGTCTTTGCTGAAATCACAAAACACTCTTCAAGAATTTGATGTTGATGTCAAGGATTACTCCAGTCTGACAAAAGTTGAAACTGAAACGCAGGTGCGTGTTCAAGAAAATAACCATTCCTGGATTAAAATTGTGCTATATATGTTGAAACCTCGAGAAATTAGGTTATTGCCTTTTCATTAATCGATTCAAAACCGAACGATAAAAGGACTTATTTAGGACGCTTTTTTCTGCGTTTTTTCAGGACATCATCGACAAGATGAACACGGAATTTAAGCCAAAACTCATCTCTCTTCGTTCGTCTGGTGAAAAAATCTCTGATCAAGATCCAGCAGTTGCCCAAGAAGACGTTGATGACATCGTGAACTCTTCACAAAAAAATCTCGAAGGATTGCAAAGCGCTTTGGAACTACGAAAATTGAGGTATAGTTCACCTTTATTTCTACACATTTCACTGTAGTTTTGACTCTTGTAGTCGAGACAAAAGTTCAAAATTGATCGTTTAGTTTCTCTCTGTGGATTAAATAATTTGAACCAATCCAAAACTCGCCTCAAAATGTAAGCTTAATGTAGCGAAATTATCTTTCAAAACGGATTTATACCTAAAGTAGCTCAGCATTGATTTACAATCGTAAGTTCACTGAAATAAATCTCACGTCATTCCAGATTGCGTGATGCTGCTGTACAGCATATAAATGATAGGATACTGGAGTGCGATGCCAAAGTTGGTGATGAAAAAGTCAAACTTCAACTGATCACGCCACCAGGAAAAGATCTTGATACCGTTTTAGATCAGCTTTCAGCATTAGAGGTAACCTTTAGATGCTTCTTTTGTTATTCAATGCTGGTTGAGTTTGTAGACAAATTGTCGGTTCAAGAAATTCACTAAAGGTAAATGCATTGGAGAAACAGTTCGATAATGTAATCTAAATATATTCAAGATAAGACAATGATTTTGACGATGATCTTCCCTCACAGAACAACGAAGAAACATTTCAGACGAATCAAGTGCAATTTGAGGAAGTCCAAGTTCACTTGAACGAACTGAAAAAGAACAAGATTTTGACCGCTCCTGAATTCCAAGAACAGTTTCAAGATGACTGTAAAGATATTGCAATTGAACGCGCGCAAATCCTCAGGCAAACTAAAGATCATAAAAACAAGTATGTCCCGTCATCTAAAACCTGAAATGCTTTATCTATACTGGATAGCTCTATCAGTTCTAAACTGTTCTTCCTAGAGGTCCAGTAAGGATCATGTCTTATTGACCCAGTGTTACTACTGGAGGAAACCTAAACTAAACTAACTTTATTTATACTGGATAGCTCTATCAGTTCTAAACTGTTCTTCCTAGAGGTCCAGTAAGGATCATCTCTTATTGATCCAGTGTTACTACAGGAGGAAACCTAAACTAAACTAACTTTATTTATACTGGATAGCTCTATCAGTTCTAAACTGTTCTTCCTAGAGGTCCAGTAAGGACCATCTCTCTTATCGATCCAGTGTTACTACAGGAGGAAACATCAACCAAAGTTTTTTTCGAAATATTTTCAGGCTCTATCGTGCTATCATAAACATTTTTGATGTCCGAAGAAAAGAAATCACCAAATGGTTGAAGAATTGTGAGAAGAAATCAAAAGAAATTCCAAATGATATAGAAGATCTTGATGAGGGTTTGATTGTAGTGAAGAAAATTAAGGTAAATAAGTATTGCATTGCAAGCTAATGGGTTAACAAGAGACACTGACAGATAGTCTTGTTAACTTATTAACTGACAATACTCTTCCACTGATGAGTAAAATCATCTCACATTAGACAGAGTAAAATACTAAAGTAGGTCACATCTGGGTGCATTGCAAGCTAAGGTTAAAAAAGGTAGTACTTGATCAAAACAAGAGCTTTTTCTTGCAGGAAATGGAAGATGTGTTGGCACAAGGGGAACCAAATTACCACGAAACGGTCGAGCTTTCCAAGACTGTCCTAGAGAAGGAAGTTCTTGTTGATAAGAAGGCCAAAGATGCTGAGAACGATATGAAGAATTCTTCAATACGATACAACGAAATCTTGGAAGATGTACAGAACAGAAAAAACAGGTAAGACTACCTTTGTTGTTGTAAATTAAGTCCTCATATTCTGCGGCTGATTGTATCAAGGCCTTTTAGCTTAAACGGTGGATAAGTCAAAATTAAATAACACTCTTACATCTCTCTTGAATGAGTCAACTTGAATATTATGCACTGAATATGTAGTTGTAAACAGTATCTTTGTATTAAGGTTAAAAACATTTAGTTTGCTTGTTGAATAAAACGATAGACTTGCTTTCTATTTTGAACTTATCCTCCGTTTAAGATAAACGGGCTTGATACAACCGGCCCTTGAAAAGGAAAAGCCATGCGGTTAATTTGAAAGGTCTAATTGTTTTTGAACTCGATTCTGGAGGTGTTTTTGAATTTCAAAATCCTTTTCAGCTTGTACAAGACAATCTATGAACTCCTGAGCGTGCAACTGGATGAAACGGAACAAGAAATTAAAAAAGGTGAACAGATTGTTCAAATCGAATCAAAACCCGAAGATCCAGCCGCTACACACGAAGAACTGAGTAATTTGCAAGTAAGTTTGAAATGATCTGGGATATCGATGTTTTCCAGGGATGATTTTATGTATTTTACCACCTTGTCACCCCCCTGCCAACAGCCACATTTTCAATATTCGCAGGGGGGTGATTGCTTCAATTTACGGTACTTGCTGAATGAAGAATCATGGGTAGAAACCCCCCCCTGCCAACAGCCCGTTTTTAATATTTGCAGGGGGGTGATTGGCTCCATTTTCGGTACTTGCTGAGTGATGAATCATTGAAAGATACCACCCCCCTGCCAACAGCCCATCTTTTAATATTTGCAGGGGGTTGATTGCTTCCATTTACGGTTCTTGCAGAGTCACTGAGGCAAAAAAACAGTTTTCCCTCTCATAGGTATTCTGTGACTTAACTCTGTTTATATCATTTGGTTTTGCTTAGAGCGTTGTCAGCACGTCAGATAAACTGGAGGAAGATAGCGGAAAGTTATTTGACACAGCAAACACCTTGCTATCGGCTGATATCTTCCCCAAAGACGACAAAAGGGAAATACGAAGGAGGGTTATTGATTTGGACAAAAGAACTTACGAATTGCCCGACGCTGCCAAGGAGAAATACGAAAAGTAAGTACTCGATATCTATCTGGAAATATTTGCTGTAAAATGGGTTATTTTGCGGCGCAGTTGCCTATCCTGAATATGCATTAAGTTATCTGATAGTGATCTCTAAATACAAAGCTTTTACAAAATGTTTTTTAACCAACAAAACAGAATGGTTGAAAAGAATTTTTCATAGCTTAGAAAAGAATGACTTTTCACAACTCTTTTGTGAAGTTACTCGAAGTTTTATTGTGGTATTTGAATGTGTTTATATCTCCCATTATTTCCAGAGTGTATGCCGTTTATCTGACAAATCTCACAAAGTTAATCCAAATACGAACGGAATGGATCACTTCAAACGAACCTCGTCTGGACCAGACCGACACAACTGATGCTCTTGATATCCCTGATCTCGAAAATAAACTGGACGAACACGAAGTGAGTGATTAACACTATTAACTCCTAAATTGCTTTCAAACATTACCAAGACTAATCGCCCGCCTTGCCTGTCAATTTTCAGGAGTTTCAGAGAGATTTGAAAACGAATAACGTTCGTTCCGTGTTGGGACAAATACGTGACACAGAGGATATCGATCCAGAGGTGCCACTTTCGGAATTACAGAGTCTGGAAAAGCGCTGGGACGAGTTTAACGCTTGGGCGGAACAAAGAAAGATCTTTCTTCAGGGGACTCTTGTGAAGTGGAAGGCATTTCGACAGGAACAATTGGCTTTGGTTGACTGGATCGACAAGAAAGATGCTGAGTTGCAAGTTCTAGATACGCCAGTCAACTTAGCTGATGAAAATGCCGTTCAACAAAGATTGGAAATGGTTAAGGTAGGGAAATCTTTTCCTCCGTGGTTAAATGTGGAGAAAGAGTTGCATGAGAGATGACAAGCGAGAGTTTACATGAGAGTTTCATCAACTATCATTGCTTGATCAAACGAGAGCATCTGGAATACAATTATAATGTCTGATTCCTATTTCAGAGCCTACAGTCAGATGTAATCCAGCAGTCTCCAAGTCTAGTTCACTTCAAGAACACGGGGCAAGCCCTGCTTGTAAATCTCAACCCACAGTCGGAAGGTGCAGAGAAAGTAAATAAGCAGATTGAAGATTTCGATAATTGTTGGAAAAAACTCCAGAAAGATATTGAAAGCAAAATTGAAAAGGTAAGAATTTCAAAGAGCAGTTTAGAACTATCCAGTATAAATAAAGTTAGTTTAGTTTAGGTTTCCTCCTGTAGTAACACTGGATCAATAAGAGATGATCCTTACTGGATCTCTAGGAAGAACAGTTTAGAACTGATAGAGCTATCCAGTATAAATAAGGTTAGTTTAGTTTAGGTTTCCTCCTGTGGTAACACTGGATAATGTATTGATGTACACTTAATAATTTTCTATAGATTGAGAAGTCGAACAGAACAATCAAAGCGATTTATTCCTATATGGACGTTGTAAGCAATTGGTTGGATGACACAGACGGGAAACTAAATGAAGTTGATTCCACAAAAGATCAGTTGCGTCCAGCTTGTGTTTCGCCGTTGAGCCACGCACGTCACAGTGTCGACGGTGCCTTTGCGAAGGAGCCTGAGGAAGAACCAAGAGAAGACGAGGAAGAGAAAGTGAAGACTGGAGACGAGGCTGATGAGGATACTAGTGGATCCAAGGGGCTAAGTGAAGAGGAGAAGGAACAACTGCGGAGTAATATGGAACATATAAAAGATGATATCAAGGTAGAAATTAAACAGCTCAATTGCTCCAACAGTTCTAAAGTGTTTTTTCTACAGGTCCAGTAAGGATCATCTCTTATTGATCCAGTGTTACTACAGGAGGAAACCTAAACTAAACTAACTTTATTTATACTGGATAGTTCTATCAGTTCTAAACTGTTCTTCCTAGAGGTCCAGTAAGGATCATCTCTTATTGATCCAGTGTTACTACAGGAAGAAACCTAAACTAAACTAACTTTATTTATACTGGATAGCTCTATCACTTCTAAACTGATCTTCCTAGAGGTCCAGTAAGGATCATTTCTTATTGATCCAGTTTACTACAAGACTTGATAAGTAGTGATTCCTGGTCGAAACATTCTAACCAATAAACTTTGCCGTTTCCAAATTATCACACAGGACAATTCTCAAGCCAAAGATCTAAACAAAGCTCGTATTGAACGTGTTCGACTTCTGGTGGATGATATTCAAGATGACGTGGACGAGGATGGCGTCAACTCAATTGAAGCAAGAATCTGTGAGATTGGAGAAAGATTTGAACAGATTGACACCCGCTTAGGTCCTATAATTGAAGTAGTGGTATGTTGTTCTTGATAAATTATATAAAACCTAATGAATTTGACGATTTAAAGCTTTGGCATCGCGTTTTGAGTAAATAAATAAATGAACTGGGATATTTTTCGTTGTAGAAATCACCCGAGCTTTCTGAAGCGTCCAGCGAGGCGGAACTAGTAACGTTTGATGTTCAGCACACTGTGGAACTTCAATCATCCCCACCAGCTGAACCAACACCAGCGGCCGGTACACCTGTTGATACGGTTGATATGGGGACCCTGAAGGTAACCGTGGAACCTTACAGCGGTCACGTGACTCTGGATATGAACCAATGGAGAAGCGTCGTCGTAAATTTCCGAGATTTTCTGCACCGATTGCAAATGAACATCAGAGATGTTGATAGTAAAGATTATGAAGAGATGAGGGAGTGTGAATCTGATACAAAGGTGGGTTTCTTGGTTTCTGGATTGAATTTGACCGCATCTTTTTCTCTGGGATTTGTTACTGAATAACCAAAGTTTTACGGCGAGGCACTGTAGTTCTGTGAATAGCTGGTGATTGTGAGATTGTGATTGTGTATTTATATTTGAATTGTTAGGCATGTATTGATGCCATGGAAGCGTATGGAAGGCCTTGTCTAATCGATCTTACGAAGTCAGCTCAAGGAATGCTGGAGTCACCTGAATATACAGAAGATGAGAAGAATGAGATAAGAGCCACTCTAGAATCACTCACTGTTGGTGCACAGTTTGTTGACTTCAACACCAGAGACCAGAGATTGAGGTAATGTTGTAGAAATGATCTTTACTGGATCTCTAGGAAGAACAGTTTAGAACTGATAGAGCTATCCAGTATAAATAAAGTTAGTTTAGTTTAGGTTTCCTCCTGTAGTAACACTGGATCAATAAGAGATGAACCTTACTGGAACTCTAGGAAGAACAGTTTAGAATTGATAGAGCTATCCAGTATAACCATTACCAATAAATTACAGGTTGTATCGTGCGCTAATCTCCTACCAAGGAGACCAAAGGAAAAAGATCCATCGTTGGATTAATTCTTGTTCCAAGGAATCAAAAGAAATCAATGAAGATGTTGCTGGATTGGAAGCCTCTGATGCCGAATATAAAAAAGTACAGGTAATTTCAGAAGCTGAAATTCTTGAAACGATAAGAAACGATTAATTTTCTGGGAAAGAGTTGCCCCTGCATTCGCTAATTTTGGATTTTTTTATTGAAGCATTTGAAAAGCAATCTCGCCTCTGGAGAACCAACCTTCCTGCATTATAAAGAACTATCAAAACGAATGATTGAGAACAATATTTTCCCTGTGAAGAAAGTTCCTGAGATAGAAAAAGATGTCGCCAACTTTACGACCACCTACGACAACTTACGAGCCGATACCGAACGCAAAGATAAACGGTATGAAGGATTATTACTCCTTTTGTTCATGATATAAATGATTAAATTAATATTCCTTCCCCATGAATGAGATAAATAAGAGATGATCCTTACTGGACCTCTAGGAAGAACAGTTTAGAACTGATAGAGCTATCCAGTATAAATAAAGTTAGTTTAGTTTAGGTTTCCTCTTGTAGTAACACTGGATCAATAAGAGATGATCCTTACTGGACCTCTAGGAAGAACAGTTTAGAACTGATAGAGCTATCCAGTATAAATAAAGTTAGTTTAGTTTAGGTTTCCTCTTGTAGTAACACTGGATCAATAAGAGATGATCCTTACTGGACCTCTAGGAAGAACAGTTTAGAACTGATAGAGCTATCCAGTATAAATAAAGTTAGTTTAGTTTAGGTTTCCTCTTGTAGTAACACTGGATCAATAAGAGATGATCCTTACTGGACCTCTAGGAAGAATAGTTTAGAACTGATAGAGCTATTCAGTATAAATAAAGGTAGTTTAGTATAGGTTTCCTCCTGTAGTAACACTGGATCAATAAGAGATGATCCTTACTGGATCTCTAGGAAGAACAGTTTGGAACTGATAGAGCTTCACAAGTAATGTTTTTTATTATATTCCAGTTTGTATACAACTGTTGTGAAATCAATCGGCCAACCACTCCACTCGATAGAACTTGCAGTGACAGAGGGAGAAAACTGGGTTGAACCAGAAGAACTATCCAGTGATTACGATGAAGCTAAGGAACAGTTGAATAAGATGAAGGTTTGTAGGATTTTACCATTGAGATTTTGAAAGAAGAAATTTTAATGTTTTAATTTTATTTTCTCCATTCTGCAAGAGGAAATCCTTGGAATGAAATATTGTTTCTATTTATTTAGTTGTCTGTCTTTGTTATTGAAACACTGCACACGCGTTCAGCAAAAGTTTTGAAAGAAACAGAAGCGCTTGTCTCGGAACACGAGTATCTGAGTCCGGAAAACAAAGAGGAGATTATTGAACGCGTTCATTCCTTATCTCCAAGAACTGATGGATTACCGGCGGCTGCTGTGAATAAGTACAAGAGGTAGGTGATTGGTTTTTGTTCATATCAAGTGATCTTCCACTGACATTAGACAGAGTAAATGCCAAAGTAGGCCACATCTGGGTGGATTGCAAGCTAATGGGTTAACAAGAGACACTGACAGATAGTTTTGTTAACTTATTAACTGACAGTACTCTTCCACTGATGAGTAAAATCATCTGACATTAGACAGAGTAAAATACAAAAGTAGGTCACATCTGGGTGCATTGCAAGCTAATGGGTTAACTTCGACATATTTTTGTTGCAGAATGAATCGTGAGTTTTTAGTTTTGATCGAAAGTGAGGTTGAAATTCGCGATGCTTGGATCACGAAAAATGAGGGAAGAATGTCGTTACCACAAGCTGGGGATGTACAGGACCTTGAGGGATTCCAACAGTTGAAACAATCTCATGAAGTAAGTCCACTAAGGATCATCTCTTATTGACCCAGTGTCACTACAGGAGGAAACCTAAACTAAACTAACTTTATTTATACTGGATAGCTCTATCAGTTCTAAACTGTTCTTCCTAGAGGTCCAGTAAGGATCATCTCTTATTGATCCAGTGTTACTACAGGAGGAAACCTAAACTAAACTAACTTTATTTATACTGGATAGTTCTATCAGTTCTAAACTGTTCTTCCTAGTGGTCCAGTAAAGATCATCTCTTATTGATCCAGGGTTACCACAGGAGGAAACCTAAACTAAACTAACTTTATTTATACTGGATATCTTCTAAACTGTTCTTCCTAGAGGTCCAGTAAGGATCATCTCTTATTGATCCAGTGTTACTACAGGAGCAAACCTAAACTGAAGCGTATTTGTTCTGATTAATAACTGCAGTCTCGAACACTGTCTTTTAGGATTTTCTACGAGAACTAAAGCGGAATGAAATGTCAGAATTTTTGAAAGTCTGCGAGGGAATGAGTGACCTCAAGAAACAAACTATCGCTAAAGTTCGTGCCCTTCAAACTCGCTGGGCAGTTTTACTCGCTTGGGCCACGAAAAGAACGGTATATCTGAACACAGTCATCGCCAACTGGGAGGAATTTCGAGCTCACGAAGTAACGACGATTGAATTTATCGATGCAAAAGAGAGAAACTTGCAAAATGTTTCAGAAGAAGTTAAACCAGGCGATGACGCTATTACCAAGGACAGAGTGGAACAGCTAGAGGTAAGACCTGATTGAATAAATAGATTTAATATGATTTGCCAGAGCTGTTAAATTTCCTGTGTTATTTTAATGTTTTTGGGAGATTTGTATTCCAATTGTTTGAGATACGATATAAATACTAAATATAAAAATTAGTTATGGTAGATTTTTAATAGATGACCGACTGTTAATAGTTGGTAAATTCTAATCTTTATTCCAGTTTACCAACTGTTTTGTCTGAAAGCATAGAATAGACGAATAATTAATTATTGGTGCTTTTTCTCTGCCTTATATTTTGACCGCAAAATCGATTCTGAAAGTTAATAGACACACATTAAAAGCATATTCGAAATCTGGCAATGGCGATTTCCAGTTATTTTTGTATACACTCGGCTAAATAGTTCTATTGATTCGGCTTGTTTTTGTCGCGTTTTCAATCAATACCAGTCTCTCGGTGAGATTTCTAATGCTTTTGTAAACAATGAGTTCAAATACTCGAATATTGCAGCCGAGTTTGTTTCCGAAATTGACGTGCGAAAGTCTTTTAAGATTAGAAGAAACTTGTCTTGGCTGTGATGGTCAAAAATAACGAAGGATAGGATAAGTTTAGCTCGGTCAAAACCATGCCATTATTGTCTCGTTCATCAATAGAAGCATTAAACCATTTCATATTTAATGGTTTTTTGTTTCGCATCTCAGCAGCAAGTCTGATTGTCTGTTGAATTCAGATCTGAGATGAATTGAATAAAGACTTCAATTCTTTCGAAATACTTTCATGGCACTTGCGACTTGCGAGATATGTTCAGATTTCAGTATGGAAACATTTATGAACATATTTAAGATTGATTTTTCTTGGTAAAAAGTATTATATTCTTGGAACTCATTTCCATATTTTAATTGCGAAATTATTGTTTACGAATTGCGACCAATTTGCATGATGATGACTTTTGTTCAAAAGATTCAAAAATATCTTTGGTATTTCCTGCTTTTGCAAATTACTATTTTGAAAAGACGCTTTCAACACTTCGCAAACAAGCGATATTTCTCCGTTTGAAACGAACTTTTTGTTGAATGTTTCAAACAGCAAATTCTAAGAGCGACTTCTCCAAGAACGAACACTGTATCTATATTCAGTCTATACAGCGAGGTTTATATTACAGAGCGACAAACAACACAGAACTTGCTTTATTATTACGACACAAGAACGACGTGAAATATGGCTTCATATATACAAGGCTACGATGAAGAAAGGTTTGTGAACCAAATCGATCGAAATTTCCTGTGTCAGATTTGCTTCAACGTCTTGAAAGAGCCGGTTATGTGTTCGAGAAAACAGCATTCTTTTTGCCGTTGTTGTATTACGAAACATCTGGAAAATTCTCAAACATGTCCAACGTGTGCTGATGAACTGACCGTAGAGACTTTGGCCGAACCTTCACGAATGGTAAAAGATTTTTTAAATGAATCAAAAATTCGTTGCGTTTACATCGACAGAGGTTGTCAAGAGGTTGTAGAAGTACAGCATCTTGACCGCCATGAAGATACATGTGGATATACACCAGCCGTTTGTACAAACCAAGGCTGTGGTTTAATTGTCAACAAGCGTGATCTTATTCACCATAAAAGTGAAGTCTGTGAATCCCGAAAGTTGAAGTGTCACTCGTGCGGAGAAATAACCAAAACTTTGGCAGATATGGAGGAAAGAATGGCGAAGAATAATCAAACAATTGAAACTAAAATGACAAATTTGGACAAAAACACGGCAGATATGAAAGCAGATATGGAGGGAAAACTCGAAGCGGTTAACAACGAAGTCAAAGGATTGAAAACAGCTTTGGTCAGAGCTTTTGATGAAATGAAGGACGTTCTTATCACGATGGAGGGCAAGAAAGTAGAAAACACAAGAAAAGTAAGAAATAGACCAAGTGGTGATAAGGAAAATATAATTGTTGCTGGAGGTGTAGGAACTAACTCTGTAGAGATGTTTAACTGGCGTCAAAGAACATGGTCGCCATTGCAATCAATGCCAAAGAAACGTTGGGCAGCGACTTCATTTATGTATAACAATCATATGACTATAGCTGGGGGTTGCTGTGATTGGTCTGGCTTTGTTGATGATATGATTAGAATGAATATTGTTACAAACCCTGATCTCTCAACACACTGGAGTGACTGTCCTGTTAAACTACCTGATAAGTTGAGATACCACAGCAGTGTGCTGTATAATGATCACTTGATAGTCTCTGGAGGTGAAAAGAAAAATGGTTCATCTGACCTGATCAGAGCAGTCCAGCTTGTTCCTCCCTATACTGTGAAGTTGTTATGGATAATGCCAGAACCAAGACAAGGTCACAGCATGGAAATATTTGATGATAATTTGTTGTTAGTTGGTGGAAGTACAACTGACCGTTACAAAGACAACCTCAGCAGTGTCGTACTGTACGATATAAAGAAGAATGAGCTGAAACAGTTGTCACCACTGCCGTATGAAGTGAGTCTCATGGCAACTGTGAGATGGGGAGACAACATTGTTGTTATTGGTGGCAAAGACAAACATGCCAAGACATTAGATACAGTTATCATTTACAATGTCAAGACAGAACAAAGTCACATGCTGCCATCAATGAGATGTAAGAGGTGGGGATGTACTGCAGTTGTTATTGAAAACAACATTGTAGTCCTGGGAGGGAACGGTGAGGAAGGAGAGCTGAAGTCAGTTGAAGGTTTCAACTTTGAAAGATATTCTTGGGAAGAACTTCCAGAAATGTCTGAAGCAAGGTGGTGGCCCACAGCTGTCGTTGTGTGAACAATATGTAAAAAAAAACAGGTTAATAAACAATAGCGCAGAACAATCAATGTGTATGATTACTGTAAACATATCATAATTGTTAAATTTTCTGTCATATTTTATTGCATTTGATGTCTTCTTATATATCAATAAACGTGCCTCTAAAGAATATTTCGCTTTATTTTCCTTGTCTCACACCAGTGTTTTAAGATCAGAGCGAGGGCACCAGAACTTTTGAAACAATTTCTAGTGGGTTGATAGTGTTAATTTGAGAAAATCTTTAATTTTAATTTAAATCGTTGCTCGAAATTTAAATTCTCTTTGAATTCCATTCAAATTTAAGACCTTACACTGCCAAAAATGTTTCTTTTAATATCGAAAGAAGTCCCATAAATTACTTACAAAAAAGAAAATTAGTTTTCAACTCAGATCCGAGAGCACCCTTGTAGTGTATTTGCAAGAAAAATGGAAATTCTGAAATTGTTAAATTTCGTAAGAATTTTGTTCACATGACTTGGTAAAATTAAGTTTTGTTTGTAGTAAAAGCGCTGCGAAAGTCTTCAAAACGGCCGAAATAATATGAAAAATACACGTTTTTTTCAGTCGTAAACTGTTGAAAAACTGGTACCGAGAGTTTCGGGCTTGTGCATGACGTATGCAGTGTTGTGACAAACGAAGCGTTCGCCTGAAGAAAAACAAACTTTATTACTATTAAATCAGCTCAAGTTTTCAATTTTGAATTGCAACAGATTACGAATGACTGATCGTCGCATTTTGACATGATTCTATTTATTTAACTCGTATACTGCATCTACAAAACGCAAATTCGTCTGAATCTTGTCCAAATTATCCAGAAATTCCAATTTAACTTAGTGCATGCTGCAGTGTTTATAGAATAAGAGCGCACTTGTGTCGCGCGAGGAATTCATTTGTTCACATTCTCAGGGCGCAACTTTGAACCGAAAATTCTTCAAGTTCTTGTCGGAATTATTTGGGAAGGATGGTATTGAAATGATCCGGAAAGATTAAATTTTTAGATTATTTAAAAACCTGAAAATCGAAATTTTCATTGCATATATACACTTTATGATTGAGTAATGCTTGAAAGCTCGTCTGCACAACTCATGACAGGCCATCACACGTTTAATTGTTTCGAAATATTTTCATGAATGTTCATCGGCTTGTTCAGGCTTCTGTATAAAAACTTTTATAAAAGTATTTAAGAATGATTTTTCTTGGTAAAAATTATCATTTTCTTGAAACACATTTCCATATTTTAATTGCGAAATTATTGCCAATTGCAGGTGATGACCTTCTCTCATAAGCCCTGAAATATCTTAGGTATTTCCTGAGAGGTTTTGTTTGGCTAAGATCAAATTACTATTTTGACGCTTTTTACTTCATGAGGAAGCGATATTTGTCTGTTTAAAACGGGGCTTTTTTGTTGGATGTTTCAAACAGAAAGTTCAAAATCATTTCTTCAAGAACGAACACTGTATCTATATTCAGTCTATACAGCGAGGTTTATACTACAGAGCGACAAACAACACAGAACTTGCTTTATTATTACGACACAAGAACGATGTGAAATATGGCTTCATATATACAAGGCTACGATAAAGGACGCTTCGAGGCCAAAGTCAGTCAAAATTTCCTCTGTCAGATTTGCTTCAATGTTTTGAAAGAGCCTGTCCTGTGTCCGACAAACCAACATTGTTTTTGCCGTGGTTGTATTACGAAACATCTGCAAAGTTCTCAAACATGTCCAACGTGTGCTGATGAACTGACCGTCGAGACTTTGACCGAACCACCACGAATGGTAAAAGATCTTATAAATGAGTTAAGAATTCGTTGCGTTTACATCGACAGAGGTTGTCAAGAAGTTGTAGAATTACAGCATCTTGACCGCCATGAAGATACATGTGGATATGCACCAGCCGTTTGTACAAACCAAGGCTGTGGTTTAATTGTCAACAAGCGTGATCTTATTCACCATGAAAGTGAAGTCTGTGAATTCCGAAAGTTGAAGTGTCACTCGTGCGGAGAAATAACGAAAACTTTGGCAGATATGGAGGAAAGAATGGCGAATATCGAGAAGAATAATGTAACGATTGAAACTAAAATAACAAATTTGGACAAAAACACGGCAGATATAAAAGCAGATATGGAAGGAAAACACGAAGCGGTTAACAACGAAATCAAAGGATTGAAAACAGCTTTGGTCAGAGCTTTT